AATTATTATAGATAATAATAGATATTTCTTTAGTTTATAATTCTATTTCTTAAATATATAATTAATTTTATTAATAGTAATTAATCCGACCAAGTTATTAGAATCTCTAGTATTTAATTAGAAGATAACTATTTTAATAAAATAGAGAAAATAGCCTAGTAACTTGCCTATTTCGAGAATATTAAGATCTAGCTCTTTTTTTCTTGCCTAATATTTGGCTTTTCTAGTAAAAAGGTTTTATAAAGAAATAAGAAATATATTCTTTTATTTCTCTAGTCTTATTTTACTAATTTCTTTTAGAATTCTAGCTAGAATATCTTTCAGATATTTATCTTTTTAATACTTCTTATTAAAATATTAAGTTTTCTGAGTAAGATTTAGCTAATTTATCTCGTAATTTTCTAGTTAATAAAGCTAGTTCCGTTAATAATCTAGTAAGATATTATATTTTATAAGCTATTTTCTTCTTAAAATTATATTATAAGAACTAAAATTAATAGTAAGCAGATATTATTAAGTTTAAAAATATTAATTAATATCTAGATTTATTATAATTATATATTAAATAGTTTTACTAGATTATTTACTAAAATCTTATAAGAAAACAGGAGTTTTAAGTTTATATAAAGGTATTTATAATACTTTTATTAAAGAATAAATATATATTTAGTTAATTAGAATATATATATATTTACTTTAGTATTTATTAAATACTAGAAAGTTATAGTTTTATTTTTCTAGTATATTCTATATTTAATAAGAAGCTAGTTTTTATTAATTAGTTAAGTAAGATCTATAAGTTCTTAATAGAGCTTTTATTTTAGAAGAGCTATTTTTATATCTAGAGCTAGACTTTTCCTAACTTATTAATATTATATTTCTTATTAGATAATAAATAAAAATTAGTATTTTTATTACTTACCTCTAAATAATTAGTTTTTTCTAAATAATTCTTTTTAATAAATATAATCTTATTAGTATTAGAATAGGCTTTATTTATATATTTAGGCTTTCTATAAATATAATAATAGAAATTCTCGGGCTAGTCTAATTTCTTTTTAAATTCTCAGTAAATTACCTTTTTTAGCTATAAAAATACTAGCTATTATAGTTAATTTACTAAATATAGAATTATAATAGCTTCTTAATTTCTAGTAGGCTTTTTAGCTCGGGATAATATTTAGTAATAAATGGTTTCTATTAGTTATTTCTTCTAAAATTATTAATTCTTAATTAAGAAAAGCCTATTCTCTTATTTTATATATTATTTAGCCAGATTTCTAAATATATTAAACTTTTTATTATTTAAGCTTTTAAATAATTCGAGATTTATTTTATTTATTAAATTATTATATTAATTATCTAGTAATTTCCCTAGTTTTATTATTAAATAAATAAACTTTATCTAGAATACTAAAAATAGCTTATTTCTTTATTTTAGATACTAATATATTTCTTTACTTTTATTATAAGCTTACTAAAAAGTCTTAAAAATCTATTTAATAATTAAGATCTATCTAACTAATTCAGGTTCTAGTTAATTATAAATAAAGTTATAAATATTTCTAGTAACTAGTTATATTATATAAGTAATTTTTAGTAATTTGCTATTAAATTTAGAAAAGTTCTATATTAGTTTATTTCTTATATTAAATATCTAGTTATTAATCTAGTAATTATTTTTATTTATAAATAAAATAGAATTCTTAATTCTAATAAGCTATAATTAATTACTATAAACTAAGAATAAAAAGAAAATTTAATATTAGTTATTATATAGTTTTTCTAATAAAGATCTATAATATTTCTAGATATCTGCCTATTTAAATCTTTATTTTATAGCCTTTTCTTATATTAATCTCTTTCTTATATAAAGTTAATTAGTAATTGCCTTTAGCTTATTAATTTTTTTAGTAAGTTAATTAATATATAAGTGAAATTTCTAGTAATATTTTACTTATTTATTAGCTATAATATAGTATTTATTAATAAGATTATCTTATATAAGTAATTTTTATTAGGCTTTATTTATCTTTGAGATATTTATACTAGTTTTAAGTTTTAAATTAGCTAGCTATTTCTTAATATCTTTTTCTAAAATAGTATTATAATAGCTTTCCTAGTAATATAAGTTTATAATATTAAAGTCTAGCTTCTCTATTTTATTATATTAGGGCCTTTTATCTAATATACTTATAATAATAGTACTTGGTTCTAAATTATTTATAATAGCTTTAAAAGAAGTATTAGCTATAAAAATAAATACTAAGTAAGTTTTTCTTATTTAATATTAGTAAATTATAACTAATTATTATCTTATTTAGTTTTAAGTTAATAGACTAAAACTAACTATTATCTTTTCTTATTTTAAATTAGTAAACTATAACTAATTCTTCCTATATTAGAAAAGAGAACTAGTTCTTTTACTTTTATTAGTATTAAGGAAATATTATTTACTCTAGTTAAAGGCTAAACTCTAAAATTAACTAGATTATAGAAAATAGTATCTTTCTTCTTTTATATTAATAGAGAACTAATTACTAGAAAAGAAGTATTATTTATTCTAGTTAAGGGCCAGACTTCGAGATTAACTAGATTATAGAAAATATTATATTTCTAGCTAAGCTCTCTAGTTCTTTATAGTTTAAGGAGGTTATTAAATATTAAAAGTAGTATTTTGTCTTTGCTTTCTAAGAATAAATACGAGTTCTTTACTAATAGTATTATATTATTTCTATAGACCAAGTTAAGTAAGCTTAGTATTATATAATAGCAGGATTAATATAATAGTTAAAGGCTCAAAGTTTAAAGAATCTTATATATTAGAAAATACTAAGCTATAGAATAAAGTAGGGAGGATGCCTCGATCTTTAGTATTATTCCGCCCAAGTAATTCCGGCTTAGCTTCGTTTTGTGCCTGTTTCCGATATCCTGTCCTTGGCAGATCATGCCCTTACGCCAGCCGTCACAGCAAGACTCTCTTTTTCTCTCCTTAGTTATTTCTTCTTGTATCAAAACCACCAGTTTTCTTTGCACAAAGGCCTGGCCCGTGATATCTACCACCCGATGAGTCATGCTACTTCTTCAAAGTTATACGAGGGCATTATAGGACTGGTTAACTATAGCAGGGGAGGCTTAGCGAGGCCAATAAGAAGCTTCAGGATATCAAACCAAGTACGAATTTTCAAAGTACCTACTTATTCGTACCTCCCCTTATATAGAGGGGGTTCGTAAAAGCGATTTGGCCACTCGAGCGATTTGGCTAAGTATTTTACATAGTAAATTTGTATTGGAGGTACTTTGAGCTGGCTGCGCTAGCTGGGCCGTGCCATACGAAGGCCGACGGCATTCAAAATCGTCCATATTCGCTAGTGCAAGGAACACTAATATGTTATAGTTTTGAAAATTGTGCGTCACAACGCCACCACATTCGTATGCTTTAGTTCGAGCTTGATAGGATAGAAAAGAAGCTCAAGTATCCTTCATTTGTATTTTGGTGACTTTAAAATTATAGGGACGTTTTTCGCGAATTTTTGAATGGGGGGGAATGATTTTCAAGGCTCTCGCTTAGCAATTTAGACGATTTTTAATGCCGTCGGCCTTCGTAGAATTTAGCGAGGAACACCAATTTTGGTGTGGCCAAATCGCTCGGGTGGCCAAACTGCTTTTGCGAACCGCCAGTGGTAACTGTTGAGAATTCAAAGCAAACATCACGTGCAATGGTTCTCAGACGACTGTCCATTTTGCAGTGATCTAAGGCCTATACTTATACATGTCCAAATGGCCCCTATTGCCACTAAAAACCCATGTTTAGCTGAATGCCCTGCATAGCTAAACACCCCTGCACAGCTGAATGCCCTTGTATAGCTGAATGCCCCTGCATAGCTGAATTGCCACTGGTAGCCTTAGGCACCAATTTCCAACAGTAACCAGTGGAAGGTACGAACGGGTAGCGAGCCGCTACGATAGGAAGTCTGAGGAGTTGTTAGCATTGACAAATCTTTGAAATCTAAACTCCACTCACGTCACATCACAACTGTGCGGCCAATAACCAAACAAGATTCAGAGTGAATATCTCCACGTGCTGAAACTGTCGCTGCGTTTCATCCTCTCGGTATCAACTTTGATACTGCTAGTTATTCGGTGCCTCCTCAGCCTTAAGCACCTGTATTCTCACTGCTAGAAAATACAGAAAACCATCGCCTTAATATCGATAATACAAGAGCAAACGCTCCTCAGATCTTCAATGCCATCTACTCTTCTGGGAGAAATGGGGATCCAGTTTGTTCCATAATAGCATGTCGTTCTTCCTAGCCTGAATACCTCTATTCAGGATTAATATTTTCATTTGCTGGTTACGTTTTAGTCCCCGGACGTGAGCAGCTGCTGCTTTAACCTGTGCTGAGGGTGAGCATGCCCGCCATGCCCGAGTCGAGCCTGAGCCGAGCCCTCAGCGGGGGAGCGGGGGGTTGCCCCGTTTGGTTTCGGGTGAGCCTTAATTAGTAAGAGCCCCGCATCCCAAGTGTAAGAGTGGCTTTTTCTTTGTTCGCTTTCCTTCTAGTTCTTCTACTATGCCTTGATATCGACTTTCCTAACTTCTTGAATTTGAAGACTTATTACTAATTATACTATTATATAAATATTTTACTATTTAATAAGCCTAAATCAGGCCTTTAATCATTAAATTATATTAATTTCTTAAAAGCTAAATTTTTGGTATTGCTATCCGAGCGCCTTTCTTTGGGTTAGTCTGGCCCCTAATCGACAACCGGGGGGTCGTTTACATTTTCCCGTTTAAGGTAGAGGGCTGAGACTCAATATTTCTCTGCAGGAGCCCTGTTCAATCATCTTTCGAGATTTACGCCAAGTCAACCAGCCATAACGGCTTGATAAGGACAGCATCCCATTCTCGTTGTCTCGTACCCCTCTTTTCTGTTCCATTTCCCAGCTGCTTATTTGTACGCGCGATTGTTTCCCCACCAGCACGAGTAATCAGCAACATGCCAAGGAATGTGGTCATTCGAGCACTTTCAATACATCTCTTGTTTACTGTTTCTATAAGCCCATTTACTATTGCCTCATCATCGACTCCTACATATTCTGAGGATGCGATAACCGTCCCGGCCCGCTTGCATTATGTTGAGGAAGCAGAAGTCACTGCAGCGCCAGAACTCAAGCGACAAGACACCACAAATTTTTGCACCGAATGGTCTTTTGCTAATGGTAATAACTTGTCTCCACTGATTGTTATGAACGCAACTAACAAGTGTTTTAGGAGATCCACTTGGATGCTATGCGCCTGCTACATGTTTGTACAGGTCGATCTCGACCTTCGGACTTGCATACTGTGGAGTCAGCGGCAGTAGCTATGTATATGCAACAACTTGCTCTGATTATACAGCGCTCACTGTGAGCCCTCCCTACGAAACATTACACTGGTCTGTCCTTTCACTCCATGTGCCGGCCCTAAATCTAGTGTGATAACGTACTGAACATTTTCAACAGTCCATCCACGTTCCCATACTGCCATACAGCCAAACTCATCGCCGACAGCTCAGAGACATACACAATGTTTGGATGCGAGTCCTGGGAAGGCACCACAAGCATCGGGTATCTCGTCGCTGGAGCCGCGGCCATCACCCCTCAGTCGACCGGCCCTCTAGAATCCTCTGGTCAAACAACTCGCGGATCTGTTGCATTGCCAGTCCTGTCAACAATTACTGTGGAGTATATTACGCCATCTACGTCACCTCAATCCACCTCATCACCTGCTTCAACGGTTCCAAGCGGGGTCAACACGGCCGCTGCTATCGGAGGGGCTCTAGGCGGATTTGCGAGCGTGGTACTTGCTATCTTGGCGGTGCATAAGGTCTGGACCAAGAACAAAGAGAAGCCGCTTAGTCAGTGAGAATACGACGTCCACCACTAGAAAAATGTAAATTCCGGGAGCCGACTAATGACCTTTGGTGTTGGGCGGTCTAAATGGGGAAATATGAGCAGCGCTGGTGGCCAAACAGGCTTTGCTCTTGGCACATGCTCTTCAAAGGTGCGCTCATGATATGAGACTTCCAGAAAACCTCCCATTTTGACGCGCCCTCGATCAGAGTAAAAAATTTCCGGATTGCTTTTAGTTCCTTCAACGTGCATTCAACATCTCGATGTATCGGGGTCAATGACTTGCAAGTCCCGTCATCGACCTCCGCGCTCTTGAGTTTTCTTGACCGCGTGGTTTATCGGTGGCAGCCCATCTCAGTCGTAAACAGCGTCTAATTGTTCACTAAAGATGAAATTGGAGCATATTACTGATCAACAAGACAATTGTTTGAGTTGAGGCGTAACAGCGCAAGTCGTTAATGCATAAGAAAGCTTCCCGACATCTTTCCCGTTTGCTCGAACTTCAGCGGCTCGAGAGAGCACCTTTCGGCTGAATTTGACAGAGTGATAGTGCCCGCGATATCGCTCACCACCTCCAATCCTGACATATTACGACGAGAGCTTTGCAAATTCCGGCGGGATCGTGCGAAGAGCTCCTCTAGTAACTCCTTTTTTGGTATTAAGGATACCGAAAGAGTAACTTATACTGAGTAGTAGAGACGAGACAAAATAAAAAAGGAATCGTGTAGAGCGATTTAGGAAGTCGATCAAATGATGAGATTAAAGAAGAGAGGTATTTAGATCAAGACAAATACGGAATAGGAAGGAATTTATAGAGGGAAGAGCAGTATTCTCTTTAGGGGTATATATAATAATATAATATATACTGGTGGCAAAATACTACGTATTTTCTTATTAATAGAAAACTTTGGGTTCCTTCAGTATTGTCGTCAAAACTTGATAAAATCGGTATGAGAGAATAGAGGTCAGATAGAGTGTAATTGGCTAAAAACGAGAAGTCGACACATGTGACATATAGTAAATCTTGCTCAGGTGAGTTGCTTACGAGTTAGGATGCCCAGGTTACTCAGGCAAGTTGACTGAGCTAACGGCGAGCCGAGGGCAATTAGCGCTTGAGCAAGAGCGGCAAGCTTACTAACCCTATTTGAAGCACAAGAAAGAGTAAATTGATTCATAATACTGATACACCCTACAGGGGGAAAAAGTAAAACGACACCCCCCCCCGCGGTGTCGATTTGGGGTGTCGATGGAGGCCACACTAACCGAAATCAGCAAGCGGTAGCAGGTGCCCGTATACATTACTTTGTATCGCTGGAATACCCTGTATAGCTGGAATGCCCTATATAGCCGGAATCGGTTCAGCTGGCATAGGGGTTTAGTGCAAGTGATTTAGGGGGTTCAGGGCTATATATACGGGCTACTTACCACTGTAGAACAGCGGTCAATTCAGTACGTTTTACTTGGTTTACATCGCAAGCACGTGACCCTAGCTTTATTACTTAGCTAGTTCAACACGAATCGACGAGCAGCATTGTGCTTCACGGACTTCTTGGAGTCCGTTTACGGCATCGGAAGCGGTATCAGTTGCTAAGTATCAGGAATAGCCTTTCCAAGGCTTCCTCAAACGCACCAGTATCAGGGATAATACAACGTATAATCTTGAGTTTAAACTGCCGTCGATTTCGGAACACTTTCCCGATTAATCCTGCAGTATTAGACATTAATCACGACGCTGTCGCACATTCCAAGATACATTAACCACCGTTGAAGCCAAGAAAGAGCAAGATTCCATGGACAGAAGAAGAGGATATAAAGCTACTCCAGATGTGGAACGAAGGCCATTCGTGGGAATACGTCTTTGCTGTCCTCCCTAGCCGGAGTGAACGGCCCATCCTGGCGCGCTGTTCGACAAAATTCAAAAATCGATCCCGTACAGAGGCCGATTGTGGTTGAACTGGAGAAGCTGTCATTGCTTCATTGACGTTGGGGCTCCTATATCAGAGAAAGTCGAACTGTCAAGTATGGGTGAGGATGACGATTCAAGTGATGGCGATCCCCAGTCTAGCAGCGACGATGATGGATGTTTGAGCGAGTCGAGCAGGGCCGTTTGAGCACGAGCAAGCAGAGCCGATAGATGCAATATATCTTAGATACCAAAGTATCTACTAATGTATCTACTACTACAGCCCAGTGCTTTTGCCGTCGAGTTTCAGTCTAGTGGAACTGGTTGTCAACAACGCACCTGACGTGGAGATATGGCGTGCCGTGTTCGGCCTTGTCGCACTCACCAGCCCGAAACAATTAATACCACCGGCCGCCGTCGAGAAAGCCGTTTTCGACACGCCTTCAATCCAGCTCAGCTTCTCAGAGAGGATTAAGCAGACACACGTCAACGGATACTTGAGGAACTCACAGGCCGCGTCAATTATACTGGTGGCTTCTACGAGCGATCCTTCGAAGGAAAGTCTTGGATAAACAACGCGAACGAAATCTACGAAGAGTCGAGAGCCCATTTTACAGAAGGTCACTGGAGCGGGTTGCCAGAACCCTCAATTCAAAGTCTTTTTTTGATTTTTTGAGTTGTTCATGAAGTTCCAGGACAGTGTTCTCAGCAGATTTCGCCGCAGATACTACACATCAGCGAATAATATGTTGGAGGCTCGGAGGCTGATCACAAGCTTGATATTTGCCTCACCCCCGCCGACGCTGCCTTACCAGACGGCGAGCACGACTGGCCCAATGTACTTGTCATTGGAGAACACAAACAGAATCCAGTTGGTCCGAAATCCGAATGTTGTAAGTTTATTGTAAATTGCTGTATTTTGAATGGAGATTTGATCTGATCTCGATCTCACATTACTTACAAAAGAATAGCAAGTGATACGAGACGATCCTTCTCTTCAAGGTCTGCCGAGGCAGAATTCAAGCAAGCCCTCTGTCTTCGACAACATTTTCCTGATCTCTGCAGAATGCCGAACTCAAAAGTTCGAGCTTTCATGCGAACGTTTACTCTATTTCTCCTAACAGTATAGTTATTGTTTTACATAGACACTCACACTCCTTGCTCTCCCTCTTTGATTTCTAACACTTGACGTTCTGCTCCCTCTTGCTCCAAACAGTCTCTCGATCAACTTGAACCTGATTACGTCAATGACACCTCGCTTTCTTCTCATGTACCGGAGCTGGATTCTCGTCTTCTTCGAGTTCTAGCGGTCGCTTGGAGCTGCCAGTCGATGCGTTGAGTAAATACGGGGAAGTATAGGGCACAGCCACGCTCATTGGTGGCGTTGTAACTTCGCTATCAACTGGCGAGGGGGCGCCAGACCTCCAAGATGGAGAGCTGGAGGGTGACGGCAATGTGCTTGATGCCTGACCCTGTTTGTCAACTTTCGCTTGTGCGTTGGTATTGGCAGCAGACAGGAAGTGTTTAGGCTCTGTGTGCGGATTGTGTTCTGGCTGTGTCTTCCCGGCAATCGCAAGTGCCAGTTGACCAACATCAAATGAATCATTTCCTTGTATTTTCTGGACCATTGGTTCTTCAGAAGCATTGTGCGGATTCTCGGCACCTTTCTCCGCGAAGTATGTGAGAACCGACTTGTGGAGTGTAGCCGTCAACTCTGCATCGTCATCCTCCTCAAGTCCTGAGCTAGGTATCTCCGAAACTGCAGAATCTGGTAATGCAATGTTTGTTTGGTTTACAGCATCGCTAGAGGTGCAGATTGCAGGCAATGCCTGAAATGATGAAGTGGAAGTTTTGGGGTTTGCTGGGTTGGAGCTGTGACGGTCCCCACCCACAAGCGTATCCACGGGCCTAATTGCTGGACCTGAAGCCTCGATATTGTCTGTTTCTGGAAGAAGTGGTTGTAGTTCCTCCAGCCATTTTCCTGCGATATTCCATGCTTTTTGAGGCTCTCCAGGCGTTGCTGGTTTGAGTTTCTGCAGTGCCTTCCAATTATTGTAGCCTCCCAGGGAATGCACAATATCGTCTTTGCATGCTCTCCACAGAGCTTTCGCAAGCTCTTTCTTACTCGGTGGCCCTTCCGTAGGTTTGATTTGGTACAAACAAAGACAGTTGCTGATCCACCTCCTATCTCCTCTGTTCTGATGGACCAAAATGTATTTCTCGTTCTTTGAAGGCGCAGAATCCAAGAAATAAGATGAGACAGTCGGAACCGCGAGTGTATCTTCTAGAGAATTGGAGTGTCGTGAGAAGCGAAGGTATGAGTCTGCCGGCTCTTTAGGACTGCTGGCAATCTTCCTCCACTCATATATCGGGGATATCAATTCACACTCAGCAAGGACCACTGGTTGACATGTATCAACGGAGTGTGTATCAACGAATTCAAAGGTTGGACATTGTTTCGAGGAAGGAGTCACCGCTATTTCGCGAAGGTGCTGTCTCCTGCAAGCAATCGCTGCTGCTAGACTGGCTTCGATATTCAAGCGCTGTAGGCCATGCAGCAAATTCACCGCATTCTCTCTGCTGAATTCCTTTGCATTAAGAAGAGCAGCTCTGCGGCCCTTCCGTTTTGTAAAAGACCGAAGCTCATCAAGAGCCTCTCTGTCAAATACAGCACAGCTTATACATCTTCGCGGCTCCCAGGTGCTGGAAATCTCGGTATGGTATATGATTGTGGCGAAAAGCTTCTCTTCTTCCGAAATGCCGTGGGTTTCCTGCCGTCTAGCTTTGTGAGTCCAAATCTCTTCCATAGTGCTGAGTACATCTTCCGAGATAAGAACATGGTTTTGGAACAAAGAGCTTTCGGCTTTGGTCGCCAATGAATTCGGCGTACGTCCCTTTGGAATAGAGTTCAGCAAGTCCTTGACGTTGTGTTTAGTCACATAAAGGCATTGGAAGACTGATTCAATGATCCACGCAGGCCGGAAAACCCCGAGTCCGGGGCCGAGTTTAGAATCGAGCGAACCCCATGCTTCAATATTACGGTCGTCCTCTGTGTTGGTCTGAACAGGATATTGAATAGAGCCTCTCCACTTCTCAATTTGATTCGTCCGCTCGTCTCCTGCTAATGAGCAGATGTCATTGTCGGCCAGTGCACTCAAGGTATCCTCTTGATGACCCGAAAGAGTTCTCAACTGGCTGATGATCGCGGGCCTGTAAACATCGCGAGCCCAATCAAAGATGAAATCAATTATTAGGAGGATTTGCAGAGCCCCGTCATCTTCATTCACGTGACCATGCCAAAGATTTCGAATATGCTAGTATTAATTAGCGATAAGGTACACAAGTGGCTGATCTATTTAACTTACATAGGACGGTTTCCCGTTTCTTTCCGCAGTATAGCAGCCAGATACTTCCCAGTTTGTTCCCTGGTACGAAATGTACCATAACAAGGGACCTCCATAATTTAGACTCTTTCCGGTCTTATCCTGAAGCTCTTCTTGTATCTTGAGCATCTTCCAGATTGGGAAAGCCGTCTGAATGTCACAAGCGTGTGGTCCTTCTCCATCCTCCGCTTTAGCCTCGATGACTAAAAACGGGAACAGAAGGAGTTTGTTCTTGTGCTTTGCAACGGTAGTCTCAACCATTTCCCGGATGGTTTTGATTCCGGCCTCGTCTTGCAACTTGTAAGCAATTTCATCGAGTCGGTGATCGAATTGATCAGTGTGCTGGAACCCTAGGATTCGATCTGGTCGCCTCTTACGCAGCTTCGACCTTTCAGGAAATTTTTCTTGTTCTGTTTTCGATGAAACATAAAGAATCATTTCGTCTGCTCGGCTCGAAAAGATCGTATTTAGCTTGACACCGTCTCTTCACACGAAAATGGATTAGCGGTAAGATCTTACAAAGATATCAGGGTATAGCTGCGACCTACAAGCTCATTTCTCTTGCCTCTGGACCACATATACATGGTTCCCGATTTCTTCGTCTATCCTCCAGATTTTTGGCGATTAGGCTGGGGCCTCTGATTATCGCCTCTACGTCCGATCTCCACCGTCTTCTAGGACGAGTCTCGGAGGAACAATCCGGGCTGAACGGGTTAGAACTTAAAGATGCGAGAGTGGAGTTTACCTTACCACTCGCTCTCGACCCTGAACCGAAACAACACCAGCTCCTCTATGCGGAGTCGCCATTCCATCTCGTTCACTGTCTCCTCTTTGAGCTTTGCAGCGGTATCTGCAATCCTTTTCGCACGGCATTTCGTCTCTTTTCGCCAAACCAAATGATGCGGAGATTCCCAAGAAGCATCCGTCGTATAGGTCAAGTACTCGAATCTTCTAGATTCTTTGACTTGCTCAAACGTGTGGGAAAGATGTACTGGAAAAGCTTCATCTTTATAAACGGGGTAGATCCCGAGCCTCTGCATCAACTGCTGGTCCTCTTGCATGCGCTCCGATGCGCTGTCTCCTTTGGCCATGGTATTCTGTGCGACGCACAAGTGATTATAGTTACTTCTGAAGGCGAGAATCGGTCAAGATGGGTGTAGGGATTGTGTTGGGGGGTGAAAAATAATCAGCTTGATTGTATACGAATTCAAAATCTGAGCCATCTTCTAAAGTGGGCATCCTGGTTCTTATCTGACGATGCGAATATGAGCTTATTGCTAACGGGTGAGCAGAACCTAGCCTCTGTACAATACCTCCCCAAAATTGGGATTTTGATAGGCTACCCCTTTTCCTTGAAACCGAGTATGCGCTGTATTAGGAAGGCGGGTATACCTTTGTACATCAACTTTGTTTCACCATCCGGTTAAACCACTCTGAAACGTTGGTGGATGACATTGTACCTTCTGTGCCAAACGAGGTTTCAAGATATTATCGACAGTCCCTTGTGAAGCGGAGGTTATTTTGACCAACCAAAAATCAAAATCAGCAACATTATTCCCATAAACTTCTTTGTGTAGCATGGCAGAACTGGAGGGGAAGGTGTCGGTGATTTTTTGAAACCCTCTTTCGCACCCACATTCCCGTCAACCATATTATTACGGACTGGTGCTCATGTATTCGGCACGTGCACATGCAGATGACTAGACTTCTTTAGGCCTAAGCCACTACAATAGCACTACGCACCCATATAAAGCAGTCTGATGAGGATCGATCTGCAAAAACACTGGTGCAGTTGGCAGGGTATACACGCGAAGTGTTTGGAAGCCAACCTGAGCGGTGATTCGTGCCTGGGTTTATGATCTGTAAGAACATAATGCGGCTCTGGGTATTCGACCGATCTGGACTGTATAACTCCAAGAAGTTCGATATTCACAAAGAGCCGGAGCGATTTGTCAAGATCCTTGCCAGCTATGCGATAATGTCCGATGCAGATTTGGGTTTAAACATGTTCATCAAGCGTGATGGCAACAGTAAGTACTGTACATCAATGCATCATCACACGAGATGTGAGGATCCCTTTGGAGGCCAAGCCAATTCTCAATTTACTCAGGCGAGGCGACTGAGCCGAGGGGGAGCCGAGGATGATTAGCGCCTGAGCAAGAAAGCGGCAAGCTTACTAGCCCTATGCGATGCACAAGAAAGGGAAAATTGATGCATGATACCTAACAATACTTATTTCTATCATGGGACACATACGATCAATGTAGTCACAGGAATGGAGTGGCTGGCATTTGAAATTGAACATGCGGAGATATTCTCTTAATCTCGACGAGGTCGTCTACCCCCTGCGTCACCTAGAGAGCCAGGAGGACCTATGCATCCTGCCAAACCTCCAAGCGGTCATCCACCGGTTTCTATGGAGTTGGCTTGGACAGGTGCTCTGGATGAAATGCATATCATGGGTGATGATGACGACGACAACGCTATGAAGGGCTACCTACATAACCGATTCCCCGCACCAAAACACGTCCCGCACCAAAACACGCGCTTAAGAAAAACACTTTTACTAATTAACAAGTAACCACTTTATAAAATCCTTTTATTTTTAATATATGGGATTCCCTAAGCATATAAAGCCTACTAATAGTATTAAATTATATAGATAATAAATATATCTTATAAAATTTTATCTTTAATAATTTTAATTAAAATATATTAATATTAATATAAATTTTATATTATATAATACTATAAAGCGAAAAAATTATAAAATTATAATTTTATTATAGTATTTATAATATATATATATTAAACTTTTATATAACCTGTTTTTTATAAAGTTAATTATAAAACTAAAGATTTAATTTTTGAATTCTTTTTTAAATTTTTAATTTTAATAAATAAAAATAATATATAAATAAAGGTTTTAAATATAAAAATTCATAATTATAAATATTTTTATTAATTAATATTTATATTTAATTATAATTAAATTTTCTATAATAATTTTTAAAAGATTTATATAATATAAAAGTAAAAGAAATTCATAATTTTATTTCTATATATTTCTTTAATATATAACTAATAATATTATAATATTATCTTTATTAAATCTTTAATAATTTAAAAACAATTTATAATTTTAATATAAAAGTTATAATATAAGTATTATATTAAATATTATTAATAAAAATAATTTATATTTGCTTTTATTTATATAAAGAGCTTTAAAATATATATTCTAATAAATAAATATAAATAATATATAATATAATATTATTCTAAATTAAGATAAATTTAAAATTATAGAATTTTATATATATAATACTTTTAAATAAAAATTAAAAGTAAAATGGCTTTATTATATATACTATCTATAAATAAATTAAAGGAATTAGGTATAGGTTCTTTATTAAGTTATATTTTATAAGAAACTTGAAAATTAATAATAATTTAATTTTCTTTAAACTTTTACTTAAATTTTATTAAGAAATTGTACTTTTTATAAAAAATCTTTTATATATTATAAATAATATTAAGTATTTTAAATGCAAAATATATAGCTTTATAATAATTTATATATTAATTAAAAAGTTATATTAAAAGTTTATTCTTTTATATATATAAATATAAATCTAATATTATTATTATACTAAGTTATTATTCTATATAATTAAATTTTAAATTTTATAATAAACGGATTTATAGTTATTTAGCTATTAAAGAAATAAAAATTCGCGAAAACGTGTTTTGGTGCGGAACGTGTTTTGGTGAGGGACTTCGGTTAAGCGAAGCGAACAGAGAAGGGAGACCGACTATTACGCCTCACTCAAGAGTTTGGAGAGGAGACGAAAAAACAATTGAACTGGCTGTCTCCTGTCGATCCTCTGCAAAACCACCAGGCTGCTCGCAAAATCTATCAGAAAGGCACTTGCAGATGGCTCATCGACAGTCCGGAATTTATTGATTGGGTCAAGACGAAGAACTCAGCCATGTGGCTGTATGGTATCCCTGGAGCTGGCAAGACCATCTTATCGTCCCTTGTAATTGAGGAGGTGTTTTCCCTGCAGGATAATGGAGTGGCTTTCTATTATTGCGATTATAAGAATGCTGCTAGCCAAGAGCCCACAAATATCCTTGGCTCCTTAGTGAGACAACTGGCGTTGCAGGAGGCTCTCGTTCTTACCAAAGTCAAAGATTTCTACAATTCACATCATCCAGCAGGAAGACCATCTAGTCGTCCAACGGAGCAAGATCTTGGAGTCTTACTACTGGACATTTCCAATTCATTTGCAGAAGTCACGATCATTTTAGATGGACTTGATGAATGCGGCTCCAGCCCAGGAATTGAGAGATCTGAACTCGTTCGCATCTTGTCTACCCTTCACGACGGGCATGCTGGATCCATCCGAATAGCTATTGCGAGCCGCCAAGAACGCGATATTGAGGAGTGCTTCGGTGAGTTTGCCAAGGTATCCATTGCAGCAATGTCGCTTGATCTGGAACTTTAGTTGCATGCGAAGTTGAACGGCGTGCAAAGACCGGGAGGCTGAGGATTCGAGACAGCGCTCTGAAGGGAGATATTATTCAGGCCTTAATAAACGGCGCTGATGGCATGTAGGTACACCTGCTTAAAATGTTTGTCCAAATCCGTTGCTAATTAATTCTTTTGCAAAAAGGTTTCAGTGGGTCAAATGCCAACTGGACTCTCTTCGTGGTCTGCCAAATGATGCTGAAATTCGCAAGGCCCTCAAAGAGCTTCCGCCCGATCTCCCAGCAACCTATGTGCGAATTCTAGAAAGACTTGACAGGACACTATCGCATAAGGCAAAAACATATCTAAAAAGAATATTAAAATGGCTGGTATTGAACGATGGGCGAGCTATTGGAAAGTGATCGATTTATTGATGGAAAATCGATATATTGGAGTTTGACAATCTGTAGAATGACTAGATACAGGAGAGTGAAAAATAAAAAGGGAGAGGAAGGAATCTAAAGTACAGTTCTTATATACCCACTAGTGGGTGGCGATTTCCTCCAGTATATTATAAATCAGCTGATAAATCATATTAGTGAGCGTTCACTGAGCTTCCATAGTGAGCTATTCCATATGCTTCCATAGTAAACCATTATAAATGAGAGTGGCGAAGCTAATATTAGTAGTTGAACCTGGTACTGGAAGGACTAGTAAGCTAGTACCAATTCAACACGAGCTGATACCTCAACCATTACATTGCCTGCTTTGTCCCACGCGATTTCCATTGAAGATGAGCACACGCGGAGCGCGATGCCATTCCCGACGAGATAGGCATCATCGAGTGGTGCAGTAGTCTGGCTCGAAGAAATACTGAGAAGAACACCTTGGAGCTATCGCACTTCACCGTAAAGGAGTTTCTGTTATCTTCAGAAGCTTCGGTAGAAAGCCCCATTGTTCGGAAATATCTGGTACAGGAGTCGACGGACCTTACTTACCTGGCTAAAACCTGCCTAGCATATCTGGGTCTAGACGACTTTTGCCTAGTCGTGGATGTCGACAATGTCTCTGAATCAGAGCGATTTCATGACAATTTTCCTTTCTACAATTGTGCTGCGTCTCTATTTTTCGACTACCTCAACATTCCTCAATTAGAGGCCCAGGCGGAACTTCAGTTGCGTCGTTTCTTCACACCACAAGCCAACGAAAAGTTTTTCCTCTGGAGACAACATTTTGTGCCCGATTCTTTCGGAATTGCGGAAATGGACATCGAATGGAATCCTGGTTCCGAGGTGAACCTAACTCCTCTCCATTTGGCATGTGAGTTGTTGCTCAAAAACACAACGGAAAGGTTGCTTTCCGAAGGCGCAGATCCGAATGCAAGGTGTAGATACTTTGGTACCCCACTCACTCGACTCCTTCTCTCGGGCGAGGGTGGTTCAAGCTATGTCCCAACAAATCTATGGTACGCCCTATCACTTCAATTCGCAGGTGCAGAGGGCGGAAGGGAAGAATATGAAGTACAAATATACGATATTTTGTTATCCAAAGGCGCAGATGTCAGTCAAATGGTTCGATGCGCAGGTGTACCAAAAGATGAGGTCTCAAGCCTAACCAGTCCACTCTGTGTTGCATTGGTATTGACGAAATCGCTTCCTCTCACTCAACGACTGTGCCTCGCCACTGTCAACTTGTCAGCTGAGATCTGCTTTGGGATGGATTGTGAGAATTTATCCCGTTTCCTGAAGATCAAATGAGGATGTGCGCGGGCGGTTCATCTCTGATAATACCCTTTTGGAAATATTTCATAAAGTGCGCACTGGAGTTGAATGCTCTCTGGCCGCGAGATTCCAAGTTTCTTGCAATTATGGAGGAGGTTTTCTCCAAACGTCAGAGGTGCGGGGATGCTGAAACCGGAATTAAGAATCGGAACAATATTCCAGACCAGCAACTTACGCTTGCCTGCCAAATTGGAAACGAGGCAGCCGTTGTACGATTTCTTGCCGAAGGCGCCAGTGTTGATGCTTTCAACTCAGGAAATAAGTCAGCTCTGTATCTTGCGTTGAAAGGAGGATATTGGTCCATCGCTTTCATACTTCTGGAGGCAGGATCTGACTCGAGTACAGAACTTTCACCTTGGCAGATGGTAATGTGGCTAAATGGGGATGAGTACTCCGAAGGTGTAGACGCCTTGGCCTTCTTCGAGCAGCTGGTGGGAGATAACCACATCGACATATTTCGTCGAGAAGCACCCAAAATACTTCATTTTGCATATGAGAACGCCAGATCGGACATTATTGCATTAATTCTTGGACACAATGTCGACGTCAACGTACTAGTTGACGGATCATGTCCTATTCACGCCTTACTAAATGAAAAAAACTGGGCAAACTGGGCAACAGAAGATGACCTCACGCTCTTACTAGAGCATGGAGCTAATGTTAATCTTCAAGATAGCGAAAGACGCACGCCTCTTCATCTTGCTGCCCAGTGGGGAAGCTCGGCGGGTCGGACCCTCGTTAGACGTCTTTTAGATCAAGGAGCGAACAGGGACGAAATAGACGTGGACCGCTGGACACCACTTCATTTTGCTTGTCGCAGGGGCGACCTAGGCACTGTCGAGTGCCTACTGGAACATAAGCAAGGTTTGAGAGTCGTCGACATCATCATCACTGACATTTTGTAGAAGAATCTTTTCATCTTGGGGATCAAGCGAACGAACCTTCAATCAATGACGTCGATGTAATGGTTGGCAGTATAAACTCAGCCACTGCTGGACTAGATACGCCCTTGTCGCTCGCTCTTATGGGCCTCAAAAAACCAGACCCGGACTTGATTGCATTGCTTCTTTCTTATGGAGCATCAATGAATTCAATTCTTTCCTCGGGACGTACACTGTTTGACGACTTCTTTTCAAAAACAGACTTATCAATGCATCACATTGGAGCTGCTAGTGTTCTGCTCCGAAATTCTAATGCTGGAACCTTGAAGACTTTTGGTCACGGAATCTTAGCCAGTTTTGCTCGCAATGGACAATTCGAGATCGCGAGGTGCTTCTTAGCTGCAGCTGAAGCACTTGGTGTCGAGCTTGAGCTTGACTCCAGTGTTCACGATGCCGCGGGGTGGGGCTTATCACATTACAGTGCACGGGGAGACCATTGTTTGAGTCAATATTTTCCTGTTCTTCTGCCGATGGCGAGCAATGCCCTCGACAACTGAAGACGGGGATTCCCAGTGTGGGCAAAAACTACTCAAGCTACTCAAGCTACTCTAGAGTAGTCTTGAGTAGAGTAGAGTAGAGTACTACTCTAGAGTAACTCAAGAGTAGTCACGTGCAAGTTACGTAAATATAAAAAGTCAATATTTATTTAATTATTAATAAATAAATAAGGTACATATTAAGCAGTACTATATAATTTAAGCTAGAGCTTATATAAGGCTACTTAAATACCACTTTTCTTCTATAAAAACTAGATTTCCCTCCTCGAAATCTTTCTTTTCCTGCTTTTTTTCTTCTTCTTTTACTTCTTCTAATTCGTCTTTAAATAACTCCCAGCTTTTTAAGTAAGATATTATCTTAATAGTACTCTTATTAAGTCTATTATGTAATTTAAATAATAAGAGTACCTTGAGAGAAGAGTTTGCCCTTAATAGCTAAGGAAGCCTAAGAATATATTAAGGTTCTACCTTGCTTACTAAGCCTTGCTACTACTTGATTGGGCAGTGCAGTGGCGCTAGACTCGGGCCACTCCGGAGCCTTACCTAATTAAGCTAGTATATTACGTGTAATATCACGTGCATACTACTTAACTACTCTGGAATATTCTAGAGTAGTTGAGTAGAGTATTGAGTAGAGTATGAGTAGTGAGAAATTTATTTGAGTAGAATATGAGTAGGGCCCACTACTCTACTCTACTCTACTCATTTCCCACACTGGGGATTCCGAACTCTACATAGCAGCTAGTCACGGCAATGAAAGTGGTCTACGGCTCGCTCTCGAATGTTGCAACAGCTGCCAGTTCATCGATACGGAGGCGTCTTCTGGACTCACGCCTTTACAAACTGCCTTGAGAAACCGCCACCTTTCAATCGTGTCTTTACTCCTCAACAGTGGTGCATCCTTAGAGGTGCAGGACCAGTTGGGACTCACTCCGTTATGCATTGCAGTGGATATAGATTCACCTGAGGCGGTCGGGATAATTCTTTCTCATCTCAATCTGCGTCCAAGACTCACATTGGATAACCCGTGTATGAATGGACTTTCTGCTCTTCATTTAGCCGTGAAGCGTGGAAATCTGACCATTGTTCGGATATTTGTGGGCAGTTGGGCAGAATTTAATACCTCTGTGGACGAAGGCGATGCACTACTTCAGTCTACCCATAAGAGTGGAAATTCCTCTATCGTTAAACTGCTGACGGAGAGTGGCATCGTCCGGATTCCAGATGTTTCCGCGAGCTCGATGCCAAACATCGCTATGGATAACCATGCTGAACAAACTCTACCACCACTACTGGATGCGGTGGGATCAAGTCAAAGTTTTCGATTCTCTGGGATTGACTCAGATAACATTGCATTCAATATCGAGCGTCAAAGCTCGTTAGGGAGATCGCGTCCTCGCTCTCGAATAGGAAGATTCCCCGCTCTCCCCCAAAGGCACAACGGCTATAAACCTAAACCACAGAGCCAGGCCCAAACTATGTTGGAGATCTTGGATCCCTCGCTGCAAGGTCCGCCTGGTTCTATATGGCCACAAAATGGGCTCTTCGGAGCTTCTTCCCCGGTGGACGCAAGAGACACCTTGGTCCTCGAAGCGAGCATAGACGGTCGAGAACACTCAAATTACATCAATGAAAGAATTGGGCTAACTCCACTGCACGTCGCTGCGATCACGGACTCAGCCCATAGCCTGGGCAAAATGATTGATAAAGACAGTGGACAGCTCCATGTTCAAACAAAGGATGGACGAAATGCCCTCCATCTCTCCCTCGCAGCTCGCTCTACGAATGTATCAAAGCTATTGATTGAGAGGGGCGTAAACGGTTGGGTCAAAAGCCTACTCCACGGCCGTCCCCTCCATGTCGCTTCCGCGGTCGGCGATGGAGAATCTGTTAGAATGCTGTTATCAAATAGGCTGACAACAGACACGGCAATAGATATAACGTCCCTCATCAACGAGCCGAGTGACTTTTTCGGTACACCGCTTTACGCGGCTGCTTATGGTGGTCATTTGGGCATTGTAGCGCAGTTACTTTCTTCAGAAGCAAATGTTGATGGAGTAGGCCTGGGAAGTATTCTCGGCACTCCTTTGCTGGTTGCTAGCTCTCAGGGACATGTAGATGTGGTAGAGTTTCTCTTAGCCCATGGAGCTAATAAGAATGCATTTAACAGAAAGTTCGAGAGCGCGATAGACGTAGCTACGGCGTTTCAGCAACCGGAGGTTGTACGGATTTTAGAATAGATTGTGATTTCGGGTCAAGGATAAGGATGGGGACGTCACACTCATAGCAAGGAATATTAGTATTAAGAAGGCATTAGTCTTTGGAAGCTTTGAATTTTATTATATTATAAAATAAAATAAGGGTTTAATTATTATATTTATTTTACTTTTAAGGCAAAGAAAACAGAGCCTTATAAATTAAAAAAGTATTTAATAGTAATATAATAAATTAAGAGCTTATTAGTTTATTATTAATTATAACGGCTGGTATAAGGGCATGATCTGCCAAGGACAGGATATTAGAAACAGGTACAAAACGAAGCTAAGCCGGAATTACTTGGGCGGAATAATACTAAAGGTCGAGGCATCCTCTCTACTTTATTCTATAGCTTAGTATTTTTTAATATATGAGATACTTGGATCTTTAAGCCCTGGCTATTGCCTCAATCCCGCCATTATATTAATTATATTAACTTTTTAATTAAGTATTTAGCTTAATTAATAAAACTAAAAGTTTTTATTAAAGTCACGTGTTTTCTTATTAAGAAATTTAAACATATTTATAATTATTGGTTTACTAGTAATATATAATATTATTATATAATTATAAAATACTAAATATATAAGTTAGTAAAATAATTTATATTTAGAAATAAAAATTATAATATTATAATATTAATATACTTTCTCTAAATCTACTAAGCCTAATTAGAACTAGTTTATTAATTAAGTTATATATATAATATGAGGTTATATAATAAGTATTACTTATATTCTATTATTTATATTTTATTACTTATTATAAGGCACGTAATAGCAGGGTAATATATAAGTAGTCAAGGTAAGTAAGCTGCAGAGTGACGCTTGCAAGTGTAACTAATTCCAAGAATTAATTCCAATAAAAGACTAATTAATGCCCCTTTCCAAAGCTAGGAGCGTCTCCCTATATATTCCCTAGTGCTTAGCCAAGTATGCGAAGCCCTTTACTTAACTAGGAAATGCAATCCCATGCAATCCGTACGATTCCGATCGCCCGTACGATTCCGATCGCAAGCTTTACCCAAAATAGGAAACTAGATCCACGACATCTGACACCTGTCCATGCGCCATCACGTGTGCCCGTCACACTTATATTCCGTTATTTTTAGATTATATAATTATATTATATAACTTTCGAGATATTAGCTATATTAATAATTTATTATAATCTTTTTAAGTAATTGATTATAATATAAAATAAGTAAAATAAGTAAAGTATATACTTAAAATAAATTTTTATAAAGGACTTTTCTTTTATTATTCATAAGAAATTCTTAAGAAATAATTCTATAAATAAGTAATAAGTTAATTATAGTCTTTAATAAAATTAATTGGAATTTTAAGTACTTATTAGATTCTATTAATTTATTAAGTCTTATAAGAGTAAAGTACTAAATAATAAGTATGCAATATCAAATACAATATTAATGTGAGTTTATTTCTTCGTTTAGTGAGACATTGCCACAGATGTGACACCTAATAAAGTGCACCTAATAAAATTCCAGATGCTATAATTTTATTGGGCGCCACAGCTGTGGCTAATTCGCTAGCAATGTCTCACCGGATGAAGGGATAGGTGTCTAAGGCCTCGGTAAAGGCGTATGGTTTCAGAAATATAAATAGTGTTTACGGCAGGGAACTTCCCTGTCAACGTCCGAGCACCAGGCAGCCGGTTTCAAAAGATAGAGGATCAAAAAATTTGTCTATGATCTTTACCTCCGCACTGCAACTTAGACAGGATGGATACAACATCCGATGCGGATTTGATAGAATAACCGGCACAAACAGAAGAGCCTCTTCAATAAATGTGTTCTTACCTTCAACGGGCAAGTCACACGATGCTTCTATTCAGCACTGGAAGGTCAGGAAAGCACAGACACTGTCTCGTGGGAGACACCTGCCGAAGATTCCAAGTTCTCTAGAAACACTACACGTCGCATAGTAGTCCATTTGACAATCTACGTATGGAGTTTGGACTAAGCCAAAACCAATACACCGAATCACCATCTATACTCGATTCTCTGCCTCGTATTGACCCTCATCTTGTCTGTGGACCTCAGTTAAACGACCCATGCTTCAAGCCTGGGGGATCTTCGTATCACAGATCACTCCTGCATCAGTGTTGCACACGCTGATTGAAGCTTAATTGAGCTCACCGCGCTTTGACTTCTTTCTGCGCAGATTGAAGGATCACGACATTTCAAACCAGGTTCCCAGACGAATACGACTAGTTTGCTTGTGTGTTTCTCACGGGGACATATATCTGTGGCCTCTGTGGATCATAGTTCATGCGAATTCAACATTGAATTGTTTTTGTTGAGCGACATACACATATCTTCTGCGATGGTGAATACAGGAAAGCCCTCAGCAAGCTGCGAAACTTGTAGAGCTCGGCATATCAAGGTATTGAATGCTCCTTCGTTCAATCCATCTATCTGACGGGTGGCCGTTCATAATTCTGGGTGATTGATATCTATTCTAGTGCGATGAGAGCAGGCCGAGCTGCATGAGATGCCAGAAGCTCAAAAGAATTTGTCCTGGATATCGAGATCTATCAAAAGTTCGGTTCGGCGGTAAACCTGCATCTCGAAAGGGGAACACTCCCACATATGAGCACAAACCCAAATCAAGCTCAGAATATGTCGGCGATTCACTCCTCAGTGATTTTGTCGGGAGTGAGAGTTTCCGGACAGCGGATCCAATGGCTATCAGCCACTTGGTCCCTAACTCCATGAACTTCGTTCCTCGTGCGATGGAAGCTCTCCTTGGCCAAAGGAGCTTGTCTTCTATGCACTTTCGAGTTCCAGAACACGAAGCTGCGCAGTGTTTTTTCCTTGCCAACTTCATCCTTCTTCCGAGTACGGCCACCAAAATGGGCCACCTCAATTTCATCATCCCTCTTCTCAACACTGCTAGCGAACGTTCGCCTTTGCGATCTGCCTTTTCTGCAGTCAGTCTAGCTTCCTTAGGAGCTCAACCAAACTCTGGTGGCCTGCTTTCAAAAGCAAAACTTAGCTATGTCCAAGCCCTGAAGCAGATCAACGTCGCCTTGACCGATCCAAAACTGGCGAAAGAAGATTCAACCATGGCGACCACTTTACTCTTATCAGTTTATGAGGTAAGTTTTTCCTCTCCGACTAATTCGTATTCAAATACTTACAGTTATACAGGCAATGGTTCGCCCGGAAACAGATCTTAAAGGGTGGCATTCTCATATTGACGGCGCGGTGGCGTTGATTACTTCTGGAAGGAGGAGACTGTTCCGAAGTGAGATTAGCAGAGAATTATTTCTCGCTGTTAGAGAATTGATGGTAAGTACAAAAGTCGGTGTGACAGAGCAACCGCTTACTTTCGTTAGACAATCGAATACATTGGGACCAGGCTCGGCAAAAATACCTAAATTTCAGGTATCGATATGTATCAATGCCAGAATCGTAAGGTATCGATAGTATCGATAGTAGTATCGATTCCCCGAGCCTAATTTTCCCCTTTAATTATAATTAACTTTAGAACCACTTGTTTTATAAGAAAACTTCTAGTAGCGCAAATATTCTACTTAATTCAGGCTTTCTATTTAGCTACTTGTCTTATACTTTAGACTAAAACTCATCTCAATGCGGCTATTTTAAGTAAAAATGAGCTTTTGAGGTTTTCGTAAGGCTCGCCTATATATTTAGCATCTTGATAAGAAATGCGAATACGAGGCATAATTCTCCGAATACGAGAGCTATTTCAATTTTAAAATATTGTTAACTTTTATTAATAATTATAAATAACTTTTTTAATAGAAAGACTAGAAATTAAAGGGATTATATATAAATATATTTTTATATAAATTAAATAATAAAATAATGAGATAATTTTTAGGGGTAAGAATCGATTTTGGTATCAATACCTATCGATTCTTCCGATACCTGAAAAATACCTAATACTATCGATACTGGAATCGATGCCTCAGGTATTTTTGCCGAGCCTGATTGGGACCTCAAAAGCACCTAATCGTGGAGTATACTGGTGGACTAATAGAGTTCCAGAAGAAGAAGTCTCACAAAGATATGCTTTGCTCAATCTACATGTGGCCGAGCTTCTCGAGGATAACAACAAAATTACAACCTTGTCGCCGCAAACGGCTTGCAATACTGAAATTATTGTTGAATTTCTCACAAGAGCAGTACAACTCGAGAAGCAATATAGGGATTGGCAAGAAAACCAAGCCTCGTGTTGGGAACCTACAACGGTCGCTTGGATCGATAACGAGGACACGATGGATTTTGCTACGTCAAAAGCATTTTCGGAAAGGGTTGAAGCATTCACAGATCTCACGGCCGCATACAGATACAACATAGCGAGATCCTCTCAGATTCTCATATGGACTTCAATTCTCCGTGCCGTTGCGTGGACAGGATATCCGAAGGATTACAGACTTACCACCAGTTACTCAAACGCACGTCGGCGCTGTATTGAGTTGATCGACGGTATTATTGCCAGCATTCCGTACTTCCTGGGATGGAAAGGGCGTTCAGACGAAGCTCTCGCAGGAGAATCTCAATCCGCTTGCAGCAGCAATTTGAAAGTGATTGGAGTTGGCGCTTTCTATGTGATGTGGCCAATGTTCGTTGCAGCGAATTCTGACTTTGCTACTCCGGAACAACTTGCCTTTGTGAAAGGGAGACTTATCTATATAGCCGAGAATTCGGGAATCAATCAGGCCGACCGATTGATACAGGTATGCTAACGCACTTCAAGAGCTCGATGAAGTTTCTGACAGGGATTTACAGTTTCTTCCACTTCAGCATCCGTCGGTATATATTATGGCTGATAGTATGACTCCCCTGAACACAAAATTGCCTGGAATGGAGATTTCACAAAAGGAAAGCATATCTGCATTTGGCTGTGTGGTATGAATCAACTGGGGTTAACTTAACAAGTGTAATCATTCTTCATGCAAGGTCGGATACCAGCATGTCTTTGGCTTAGTATACCTGTAACGTATTGAACTCGTTTCTGATCAAGTACCTCTCCGTTTCTTAGATCCTTGGCGGCCTTGCGATACGCCTGAATCCAATTTTTGTTACGCCGAAGCCCGCTCTCCACTGCCCCCGTGGTCTGGATCTCGGCATCTTCAAACCACTCTTCCCATTGTTCACACCCCTCAAGGAGCAACATTCTGAGGACCAAATTCCTCTCGTTACACACAAGCGCGACCAAGGATATCAATATTTATCTTGGCTCCCTTCATTTTAGACCATAGCCCTTACCCAACCGCGTGACCAAGACAGTAGAAATGCGTTGACGTAAAACTTTCCTGCGAAGCTATAAAGTATAATGAGGCAAACGTTACACACTATTGGATCTAAGCTAACTCATGGCAATCCGATTATGTCATTCCGAACTGGTTAAATGGCGAGTAGTTACACATCAAGAGAAATCAAAAAGGTACTTCGCTTATTTTGAAAGAGCGGAATGAGCTGTACCTCTAAGACTTCAATCGTATACCCCGAGTACTTAAAGAAGGTCAATTCCTCTGGGTAGAGTCGAGTATTTGAAAGCTGTTGCTCTGAACCGCACCCTGTTCTTCTGCTTATAAATAACATTGTTCCTTAAAATTTTTGGAAGTGTTGGTGGCCAGTGAGTTAATAGTAATCTAGAGGCTATTTTCTGACGTCAGCCCACTAGCGTCAAGTGTTGGTTGCGCAAAGCAACCAAAGTTCGACCCACTCCACCTCATCCTTGATCAATCATCCTCAGAACTCAGAAAGTTGGTATCAAACCATGGCCGCTATTGCCAAAACCTTCGTCGCAACAGGCTGTTCATCCGGCCTCGGCTTCGAGCTCGTCAAGCAGCTTCTCGCCCAGTCCCAACCATACAAATTCATCCTCGGCGCCCGGGACACCAAGAGCGTCTCTGCTTCATTTGCTGCCCTGAACTACGACACTAATAAACATGAATTGTCCGTCTTCCCGCTCGAGCTCTCGGATCTGAAGGGTGTGAGGACCTTTGCTTCCCAGACGCTTGAGAACTTGGGAAGGGGCAAGGTGGATTGCTTGCTTCTGAACGCGGGGATGGTGAAGAGTGCTGAAGAGCCGGAAGCGTGGGGATCGAGATGGTCTGAGCAATACATTGTCAATCACCTTTGTGAGGATCACGAGTTCTCTGATTGCGAAAACATAGAGAAATGCTGACTGAACATCGATAGCCCAGCACTATCTCATCCACTTGCTCAAGGAAAAGTTGGTCGAGTCCAAGACTCGGATTGTCTTTGTTTCTTCAGGCGCTATTCGACAAGTCAAGGATACCAGTACACAAATCCACTCCTATTTTGTTAATTAATCTGATTGGTCCTTCTACGTAGGCAAGCTTGAAACCGATGTCAAAGCAAGAGCCGGGACGAGCGCCTTTGATTTATACGGCTCGACCAAATTCATTCAGCTGCTGAATGCACACTACTGGCGTAGGCAGCTAAAGGGCTCGTGTGACGTGGTTGCTGTATCTCCTGGCCTGATTCCCGGAACGGGACTAGGGAGACACATGGATATGACCTTTTCGATGGACATGCCGGATGCGAAGACGGTTCCCGAGGGCGCGCAGAATATTCTCCGTGCAATTGAAGTGAAGAGGAGTGACTTCCCTAAGGACCCCGAGCAGATATTCTTGACTAGTTGGGGCGAGTGGTGGGGGAAGGACGTGTACGGTCTCAGTCTCGACAAGGCTCTGCAGGATAAGTGGTCAGTCGGAAAAGAAGAGATTGAAAGAGAGGAAGGATTGTGAACCTTCTTTTGTTCAGTAGATGGCGTCCCAAAGGAACTTTCATTTCCAGAGTTCTGGGCCCCGGCTCAGAGAGTACGGATCCTCACCTACGAGTCCATAGTGCTGTGCAATTGGCTGGAGCGATTCGCCTTGATGGAGAAGAGAAGAGGCCGTTTAAAGACGAATATCTATTCGAATGGGAGATTCCCGAGAGATATGTTGTGCACACTTTGTCTCTGCAGACTTACGATCGAGGTTTTCGGACGGAGCCATATGCATATCCAATAAGTAAGGCAAGTTGATATGGCCGCAAGCCACTAGTGACCTATAAAAACGTACCCACGAAGTACACAATTTTTGACAGTCTCCTATTTGTCGTCCTTGTTTCGAGTGTGCTGTTTATATCTGTGCAGATGGAAGAGATCTCCGGCTTGATCTAAAGGTATATATGGAAAAAGGATATTGAAATCCCTGGATGCCCAAGATATCAGATCGAGATTGTGGTCAGTCTTGTAGCTGGGAAACCGCTTCTTTGTTCAAAGTTCATATAGATCGTGAGCCCAGCCGCGGGGTGCGAATTGCTATGATAGACGTTAGTAAATACCACATTAAAGACGAATAAAAGATCAGAACTGAGGAACTCGAATCGGAACAAAGGCAGGAATTAACAACGCGAAGCATCTCTCTGCGCTTGTTCGAGAATAACGGGAAGGGATCAAGAAATAGCTGGATGAGGATATCAATCGCGTTAATCAGAAATACAAGAACATGCGGGTAGACTAGGCAGTGGCAAGAAATGCTGCATTGGCAGCCAAGATGAAGGGTATGGAGGCTGAAGTCGCTAAGCCTCAGCAACGAATGGTAGGTAGTGTTAGTAAAATACTGACAAAGGTAGCAACAAATGTCGAGACCGGCAAAATCTCTAAAAATATGTTACTTTTTATGAGTCAAGTCACGCATAGCTAAGAGCGAAATCAGATTCCTATCGTTTAAACTCTTTAAGTATGAGATAACTAAACGCATCGACATGCTAACAAAGTACGCATTCGTTTCTTGTATACGTAGTACATTAACAGATAGTTTATCCTAAAGCCAGAAATACAGTTTTCGAGGCCGGTGACATTAGCAAGTAGAGGCTCAGCCTCGTCGCCACTAGACCAATTATTCGTTAAGTCATCAGGGCGACAATAAGGCACATATATCAGTAAAGCCGAAGCGGGGACATTTCCGCCCGTAATATCACCTTTATCCCTAAGTTCTAACTCTAAGAGAAAGACGTTCATGTCTACTAAGATAATGACAGGGCAGAAGTTTTAAGTCGTCCGAATCACATATATCATAAGGCATTCCTATTATAAATCCACCAAGATTCTCTCACTTCCTTTCTTAATCACCATCGAAGACCAAAAGGCTTTGAATATTGACTCGGCCAAAGCCGTTTTGGCGTAACAGTTCCCGGCCACGGTGAACAGGGAACTCAGCCACGGTCATGACGCTGATATTCTCAGGACCAATACCAGCTTCATCTAATAGCTGTAGTACAGCCCAAAGCGTCTTCCCCGTGGCAAGCACATCGTCCACCACCACCACTGACGCGCCTCTGGGGACCAGATCCCGGGCCATCTCAATCCTCTTCTCTCTTGGATCATCTGATACCGAAGACGAGATATGCGACGGGGACTTGACGACGGAAATCGTGGGTGGGGGGAGCTTGCCGGCTTCGCGAATCAGCGCCAAGGGGACATCGACCCGCGCGGCCAACGCCGACGCATAGACAAAGCCGCCGGCCTCACAGCAAGCCACCGCGTCGACTTTGGCCCAGTCACCGGCGAAGTGAGTTTGCAGCAGAGACGTGCACAGGGCCAACCCACCCGGCTGCTGGGAGATGTTGAGCACGTGGCGGAACTCGATGCCCGGGCGTGGAAAGTCGGGTACCGCACGCACCATACTGGCCAGTCGCTGCAGATCCTCGTGGAAGTAGGGAAGCAGGTAGTCTTTGGCAAGCCTTTTTGCCGCCTCTTTTCCGGTCGTGTCGTTGTCGAAGATGAGACTGGGTCGGTAGTCCAAGGCCGTCACATTCGACTTACTATTGTTGCTGTCCCTATTCTCCTCGTCGTTGTTACCATCGGTACTACCGCCATGGCACCCTCGGCGAACCCGCCGCGTCTCTTCGCTAGCTTTGACGCGAATCTCGAGCAGTCTGCTGTCTGGTACCAAATGGGACAAGGCAGCGACCGGCGCCTCGTCTCTCATCCCGGTAATAAGCAGCACGTCCACATCTCTGGCGCCGTACACAACGTCTAGAAAATGCTCCTCTGGCAGCCGAGGTCGTTGCCGCACCTGGCCTTGGAAGAATGCTGTTAACGCTGGCCGGTGTTGCTCCTTGTAGGCACGGTCCCGAAGCAGACGGTCCAGGTCGGCACCGGTAGCCACCGCGTATTCTCGCTTGGTCGCATCGCTAATGCTGACTGCACGTGCCGTGAGGCTTTTGTGGGTGCAAGTGGTAAACACGGAGACCCAGATATCGGCGCAGTAGTCCTTACCGGCGCAGCTTTCACCCGTAACAAGAACGATGAGCTGCTGTTCCATGGACGCTTTCGGGAGTGGGAGCGGGCACGAGTAAGCCAGAACATTGTGCGGGTCCGCGCTGTCTTTGAGCCGGGCCAGCCGCGGCCGGTTGGGTCCAAAAGCCTTGGTCGCCAGTGCGGAGTCTCGGGGGTCCGGCCCGAGGTCGGCGCCGTACGCTCCGCTACTCAGGGGCAACAAGTTCCCGGCGATATTGTAAACCCAGCTCACGGCAGCTCGAGCGACTTCGGTCCCATCTTGGTCGCGGGGCCAGACTCCCGTTACCACGCAGGCAAAGTCCCAGTCTCGACAGCCGAAAGCAGTAGCATCGGCTGCCACCTCGCGGACTGCTCCACCACCTTGCAGCAGATGGAGATAACAGAGGGGCGAGGGACGAGTCTCAACGGCCGCCACCAAGATATCAGTAACGTCCACTGCTCCAATGTGTTTTAAGAATAAACATCGCTTGAACGAGGAAGTCTTGCCGCCGCCGTGCCCACCGTGCATCCCGGACATGTACATCTCGGCCTCGAACAAACCAACGCCGTCCACGACCTCGAAATTGTCTTCCGGCCCCAAAATTGCTACGGGCGTGGGTGTCTCAGGGGTGAGTCCAGTCGTGGAAGATTCGAACATGGTCACGCCAAGATGCAGCTGGCCGGTATCCCAGTACAGGTACGCGTCTGCAGAATGGTTCCGGGGGAGATTCCTGGCGACGAATTCATCAAAATCGCTGAGCCTGAGCCGCGCCTCGACGTTGCTGCTCAGCGGGACAACCCAGTTTCGAATCGAATGGGTCGGAGCCGTGTAAGCCTTGAAAGTAACGCTGACCACGATACCAAAGTTGGTCCCAGCGCCCTTCATCGCCCATAACAGATCGGTTTCGTTTTCCGGGATCACGGCACCGGCCGGCCGGTGTTGGCTTGGTACATGACCGATGCAGAGGGCCTGGCTAGAGTCGACGCTGACCACCACTGCACCGACGATGGCGTCGCATGCGAGCCCATGTAGCCTGGCCAGGTGCCCGATGCCGCCTTGTAGCCACAACCCCGCGCCTACGCTTGGGCGCGCCCCCAGGGGTACTGTCACGCCCGCTTCCATGGCCTTGCGGACGATATCCCCTGTCTTGCAGCCGGCCTCGGCAACGACCAAGGAACCGGAATCAGAACCGGATTTTCTTCCATCCTTCCCGGCCGTGAGAATGTGTACTTGGTCAAAGGCTCCCATGTCGACCGAGACGACGTTTGGCCAGAGACAGTGGCCGCTGTGACCCCCGCCGACGACGGTTAGGCCGACCCCGTGCTTCAGAGCCCATCGAACGCACAGTTGGACGTGTTGGACCTCTGTCGGCTTAGCAATCGAGGCGGGCCGGTGGAGGCGAGCCTCCCGGTTTTTAACCGTTATGTTCCCTTTCACTAATGGCACCTGCGCCATTAGCTCCGGCAACGAGGTCGCATGTTGGGTAAAGGCCGCCATAACATTGGGCAAGCTGAACAAGAGATGGTCTGGGTGAGCTTCCTCACGACGGCCCAAGGCGCGGCACACCTTGCGCCACTCGACTCGGATAGCCTTGTCCACTTCCACATCGTGTATGACAAACCCCGCGAGGAAAGGAGCAAAACAGTCTAGTACCTCGTCGTCATTTGCTACGCGAATGACTCCGGTAGGGAAAGAAGCCGTTCGATGGCACACTAAGCCGTCGAGTTGCAGGGTCCCGTCGAGATGGAAGACCACCACCATCCCGCCCTTTGGTCGCTTAGCAAGCATTTCCAGCGCCCGTTCAATGAACTTGTGTTTGGGCTTCATGCCGTACATGCTGTGGCAGAATAGGATGACGTCGAATTTTTCGTCACCATCACTCGTACTGGCGCTGGTACCAGTCCCTGTGTTGCTGTCCAGAACGAAAGGAATTCGATGGATGTTAGGCGGGCTTTCTAGACAAGGCAGCGGGGGCTCTTTTTCGGAAGTAGAGCAAAGCCATTCTTCCAACCTTGTAGCAAACAAGCTGTTAGGCTCAAATGCAGCGTATCTCCTGAGCTTCCGTCTTAGATGGCGGGGCAGATATCCAACTACGCTCTTTGGGCCGGGTCCGATTTCTAGCGCCGATATATGGATACGAGAGTTGAAGATAGGGGCTAGTAGTTGAGATAGTTGAGGGATAATGAAGTCTTGGTACGTCATCCATCCTGAGCCCCGCACTAGGATGTCGAAGCCAGCACTGTACTGTGTGTCGGACAACGGCTGCTTCGGGGACGACGCCGTTGCCGTGGCTTTCTGCCTAAGGGCCCATTTTAGGGAGTCGAGAGTGGCCATGTCAGTTTGGCACGAGCGTGTGTGTATCTTGCACTAGTAGGGGATGGCGACAATGGTTGATGGGGCCTCATGGCGATGTACCGCCGGCTACAGGCAAAAAGGAGCTGCGGCTGGCAGCGGCTGGCAGCTGTGCAAAGCCACGTCTAATTCAACCAGGGCATACTGCCATTATGAGACCTGATTGCTCCAAATGCGGTATCAAAAGAATGATTCGAGTTCGATGTTGCTGCGTCGCGGGTGCCGCGGCGTTCGCTCTTAGAGACACTACCAAGGACAAAGAGTTAGCTAGACTCCTAGACATAACGGTATTTCGGTGCACGAGAAAATCTGATGGGCACCGTTGCTAATGCGTAGACCAGCTGCTCGATCCTTTTAGTTGGTTATAGGATGTCATCAACGCAGGTTCGACGTCAAATATGTCTCGGGCAAGAAGGCTTCTTACGTAAGGTTAACCTTAATGCGGCCGCTCGAATGCATAATTGCTCGTGTATTCAAAAATAGTACACATAACAAAGTCAGGTAGCTCTTCTCTTTTCCAAGTTAAGCAATCTCATTTCCTTCTCCTTTCCCTCCAATGTTATTTTCCTGTATCATATAATAGTAATCCATTCACGGTAACACTGTCGACTTCCACGAAGTGGTCTGTGGCACCCTAGATCTTCTTACATTTGACCCTGGATACCCAGCGTACTCAACCCTTGCCGCAACTTCGAGATGAGTGATCTGACCCTCGAGGACATTGTCGATAGCAAGGTCAATATAATCCCCAGTTTGCAACTCGTGTGGTTCTGATTGACGGGTTTCTCCCGAAAGCGGAACTCTATTCACAAACATGCAGTTCAATGATTTTGTATCGCGGATCCAAGCCCTCCCATTTATGTTCGCCCAGATCTGGACGTACCGCCTTGGCAGTACTTTCGACTTGAATATTCTATTCGATGGTTTAGCAACAGGCGTGGTTTCCCACTGTCTGCCAATTCTGAGAGTATCTGGGAAATGCAGTAATAGTATGGTTTTCTTTCAAATGTACCGTTTGTAGATTGCAGATGAAAGACCGGGTCGCTGTGCGCTTGCCAAGTGACTTGATTGAATGCGGCTATCTCGTTGGTCGACAGGCTATTAATTTAGCCTTTGATTAGATCGTTAGTTTTCGGGCGAAGACTTCTTAGAGTGCCAGAATCGTTCTCCCGTTTTGGATCCTCAGAACCACCTTCTTTACCTTTACCTTCTGAGGTAGGTAAGTGAGACTTCAAGATAGGTATGTGTTTTCCACATGTGAGACTTAAATACCATATAGTAATAAATCTTTGCTACTAACTAAGAGACCCAGTAGCATTCTCAGATACGAGTACAAGTATACTCGTGAGTATTTAAATAAGAGGCCTACGAGTATTAACTCATATAAAAGTATATAAGTGTGAGTATATTTAATAAATATATATAATAAGTTATATTTCTTATTAAAGCCTGAAAAATAAAATTATATAAAATATATCTGTAAGATTATCTTATACTTTTTAGTATTTTTAAAATATTAGTTATAAGAGTTAAAGAAGTAAATATAAAGAAGTTTTATATTTAAGGCATTAAAAATAAAATAAAACTAGTTGTTTTACAATAATATAAATAAAGAGAAGGGAATAGAGTGGAGTTCTAAGAAAGGTATTAATATCTGGGATAATTAACGGGTTGAGGATATTGTGTGCTTGGGGGATAGTTATCATGCTCCCCCCCCCCGCGGATATAGTTAAGCATCTGTGGTCCCTGAAGCATTGAGCCTAGCAACCCAAGTCTGCAACCTTCTAAGTATACTCAAATACCCAGCATCCAACTTCCCATCGAACTTCGTTATCCCCGAGTGATCAGCCGTTATCTGGACATTCTCGTACTATCGCAAAATTGCCGACTCTGGCGCACAATCTGCCCATTCTACATTAGCACTTTCCATCAGATATCATTGCAAGGGTCAAATTTACTTACTCGTCCAAATCCCCTAGTTTCATTCGATTCATAAAAGCAAAAAACCTCGATATACTTTCCCATTAGCATTTGCTGGAAATCCTCTTCGACTGCAGCAAGAGTTTCAGAATCTCTCTCCAGTGTCTTTACTATATCTCTGTTCGTAGGAGCTATAAAGGAAACCATGCGTATTAGTACGGACCCCCAGTCTGCAAGGCCAGTGCCGCCATAAGGAGCTCCCATAAATGCTATAGCAAATATATAGCTCAGGATAAGATTCAAGTCCTAGTCATTGGAGTTGCGACTAATGAATAACGCTTGCTCTATAGCTAGGCCACCGAGACTATGAGCTATAAAGATTATGGGCCTTATTAAATTTCGCATCTAGGGGAGTTAGATCTCTTGAGTAAGTAATAATATCTGTGGGCTAAGGGGACTTACTCTGGATCTAATATTTGCTAACTCTATGGCAGGCAATTTGCCATTATTACGAAGTCGATTTAAAACTCGCTACTAATAGTATATGGGCAATATCTGTATCGTATCCGAAAGATATAATATTCGCTATCGGAAGATCGACTGGCCAAAGGGCTTTTGGCCAGTACACTCCATTAGAATGCGTCCATGTCTTTTCACACTTGCTAGTCAAACCATATACAAAAACAATACTGAGCTATTAATTAGTCTTGAAATAATCTATAAATTTTCTCGTAGTTACTTACTCAATAATTACATTGGCTAGTATTGCAAAAGTTGCAATTCCAAGTCTATTTGGAGGTCCAATATCCAGTAACGGCGCAATCTCTTCACTACTCGCCATAGAATCTTGAGCTTTCCGTTTATTCTTCCGTTATAACTTTCTCAAGAAAAATAATACGCTCCCGATTGCAACAAGACTAACGAATAGACAGCCGATCACCACTCCAATCGTTTTGCCCATATTCCACGATTTCTTCCGCAATACGGTATTTGTACTAGTAGAAGTAGGCATCCAGTATAGAGGAGCTATAGCCTGAATTTAAAGAGCCTTCACCACACCTCCAGGAGGGCCAAGCTAAAGGGTATGGGCCCCGGTATCGCAATTACAAGTATTATTCAGCAGGGTACTATAGCAATACCAATTCGAAGAGTTTGTAGGACATTGGAACATGAATCCATTATTATCTGCAAAGAGCAGGTTAGCCAGTACATAGAAATTAAAGTATACATTGGAGCGCTAAAGTCTACTAATCGGCCAAGCATTTGATATACTAGGGGGACTCATAAGTAGCGTCCGTACATGTCCCACGCCAGTACCCCTGTGGCATTCCATTGTCTCCTGTATTATTATAATAAAGATTATTCTCCATATATAATTACGCATAACCACAGCAAGTTATACTTTGATTTCCGTCAATCTTATAGCAAGGCTCATCGCCAGTTGCAGGAAGCCTTATCTCCGCTAAATAGCATATCGGTTAGGCCTGTAACTGTATTGTTAATAGACAGAGGGCCAAATAAAGAAGAGCAAGCAAATCCATTTAAATAGGGAGGGCTTATCATTATCTGCAACAATATGGCCTTTATTTGCAACGAACTATCTTTGAAAAAGGAGGACAGGTCTTTGCGGAGATGTTCGCAAGGCTGTGAGGCTGGAGAAGTGTGGTTGCACAATGCTAGCTGACTCAACCCCCACTATTTGTTGTAAGCCGCTGTGTCCCAAATTTTAGGGAAAAGGTAAAAACGAACCCCCCACCGCCCCGGGGATTAATTAGGGGTGTCGATTAGGAGTATCGATTGAGGCAGGGGTATTAATAACTAGTAATTAATTATTTGAGCTCTTTTAAAATCTCAAGTTAGATTTTATAATATAAATATAAACTAGTATATTATAACTCTTATATTATAATTATAGGCTTTTTAACTTATAATAAAATTTCTTAAAATAGAATTTTAATTTAAGAGAATTTATATATTAATTAATTAGGTTCTATTTTTTAAGTTTTGTAAAGTCTTATAAATTAGGGACTTATAAGGCTTTTATATTTAATTTTAGTAACTTATTTATTAAATTTCCAAGCTTTTTTTAAAAAAATTATATTATATAATATAAATCTTTAATTCCTTTTATTTAAATATTTATTTAATATTATTTAATATATATTAAATAAAATATAAAATAAGTAAGTAAATAAAGCTTTACTTATTATTTAAAAATATTATTAAATTTTAATAATTTATTTTTATTTTTTAAAAAGAGTTATTTTAGTATTTTCTTATAATATTATATATGTAATAATACTTTTAATATATTTATTTAAATTATAAAATAAATAATTATAATTATAAAATATATAATAATAAAATAATATATAAATAATTATTAGTTTACTAGAAATATAAAATACTATTTATATAAGTTAATAAAATAGTTAATATTTAGAAATAAGAATTATAGTATATAGTATTAATATATAATTTCTAAATCTACTAAGCCTAATAGGAACTAGCTACTAGTCGAGTTACTTATAGTATACGAGGTTATATAACCATATCTCGTTTTCCGAGTCTCATAACTATATACGTGACTCCTGAAGGAATAGCTATACTAATAGTAATACTTATAAATATTACTAATTTGTAAAAGTAATTTTAATAAGAAATTAATTAATACTTCTTTTTAAAGCTATATATATTTTAATATATATTTCTTAGTATTTAGCTAAGAATATATAAATTCTTTATCTAATTAAGAAATAGAATTTATAAAATTAATAAAAATATAATATATTAGAAAATAGTTATAAAAATGAGAATAAGAGAAAGTCTTAAATTAAATAGTAATATTATTATTATATAAATAAAGCTATAGAATACAATTTTCTTTAAATTACTAATATAATAAGAATATAAAACAAGAAGTAATATATAGAGAGTTAGTAGGCTTTTATAGAGTAGAATTATAGTTATGAGTGAGACGTGGAATTAAAGAGTAAAGGTTGGTTAATATCTTAAATAGTAAAAAAGAGAGGGGTAATATATAAACAGACTGCGGATTGCGGACGTTGTGAGGGGGAAAATTCGCTTCAGCCTTAGGCACACGTTTCGCTTAATTATGGCGCTAAGGAGTATTTAGCCTCGCTCCCAAGCTTCTACGAGCTTCACGCTTCTCTTCTAGAAATAATTACAATTCTAGAAATCTCCTCTGTTCCTATGTAACGTGAATTACACCTGGTAATTCGTCAACCTGGTACTTGGTTCACTTCTGCCTATTTCATTGAAGGATCTTCAGCGTTGATCTTTCTTAGGTCTGCATGCCGTTTTCTGTCGTTGGTTGCCTTCGGTATTCCGCGATTTGTTGTTACTCGCTCTGCCTTGCCATTTTTGTTTCTTGCTTGCTGTTTGGTCGCGTGTTTTTTTTGGTTCGTTGTATTTTTTAGTGTTTTGTTTTAGTGTTTTTTCTGTTTGGTTTTTTGCGTGTTTCAGCATGTTGTTGTGCTTCTTGTAGTTTTCGTTTTTTTTTTTCTTTTCTTTCTCTTTGTCACTGTGGCTTCTTTTCGGTCTTGTATTATTCGCTCTGTTTGTGTCTTTTGATGTATATGCTAGCTTGATTTTCCTTATGGTTGTTATCGTTTCCACTTCGCGCCTGGGGTACCGCGCTTGGGCAGCGCTTTGTCACGTGTTTTGGTTTCTCTTTAGGCCAGATGTGTTTTTCCTGTCTTTTGTAGTCGTGCCGTCTGTGGGGATTTTCCCCTCGAGTCTGGGAGACTTGATGGTGGCGCTCGCTTGCTCACACGGGCTCTTTTTTTGGTTTGTTGTTTCTGTCCCTTCTTTTTCGCACAGCTCCCTTGTGCCCCGCGTTAGTCCTTTGGCGGACTTGATGGCTGACTGGGGCTTTTGGCCGGATTTTTGCCCTTGTACCAGGGGCTGGATTGCTGGCATGGGTATTACTGGTCTTCCGTAAGGCAAAGTTATAGCTTTCTTTCACGGGTGTGTTCGAGTTGTTCGTGGGTCGATTGCTGTTTGTATTCTCAGTACGACTGGGGCTTTTTTTTTTCGTCTGGGTGGTCTTGTTTTTTTTGATGCTCGATGCCTTCTTATTCTGCTTCTTTTTCTGCGTTTCCGGCGTAACCTTTCGTTCTATCAGCTGCGATCGTCGTCGTGCCTTTTTCTATCTTTTTTCTTTGTCGGTACTCTGGTATCCGTGGCTGGTTTGTTTTCCTCTCGTGCTAGTTCGCGACTTTTTGTTGTACCTGCCGTAGCTGCTTTCCGTCTTGCCTGGTGGTTTATTCGCTGACATTCGTGGTGGCTTGATTCGCGTGGTTCTGTGTGGCGTGGTGTGTCTTCTTCTGTGGCGGGTATGGGGCAGTTGCGGTCCTTGTTCTGGGTTGCTCTTTGTATTGCGTGTAAGCCTTTGTCCTTTTCTCTGTATGGTTTAGGTCGGGAGCTTGGTGTCATTGTCTGGGGTGTATTTTGGGGATTTGGGCTGTTCTCTGAGCTCTTTGTAGTCGCTGGTCTCTTTGAGGCGAAGAAGCATTTTTAGTCTGGCCACTCGTCTGTTTATGTTTTTGATGTACTAGTTTCTGGGCTCTATCTCGGCTGTCTTTGCTTTCTGTTCTTTGCTGCGTCTCTTTCGACGGTTGTTAACGTGCAGTGGTGGTTTGCTGTTGATGGGTTCTCTTTGTCGTGTTTTCGTGCCTTTTCGGTGGATCTTGCTCGCTTTGACTTCGCGTGGGATGAGTTCGCCGCACTGGTTTTGGAGCACTTTTTTGAGGTTTGGGACGCGCTTGGAGGGTTGGGGGAGTAGGTGCGGGGGGTGTATGATTGCTTCCGGGTCGTTTGTCTCCTTTTCCCTATTGTCTTTTTCGCGTTTTTGGTGGAGATTTTGGCACGGAGTCTTGGGTTTGTGGTTGCGGCATTTTTGTTGTTTCCTGCTTTTTCTGCGTTTGTCTTCGTATTCTTTCTAATTTCTTTGGTTGGAGGGGTTCTTCTTTTTGCTTTGGTCGTTTCCGTTTTGATTTAATTGGTTTTTTTGTGCTTCTATGGTTCCCTTTCTTTTGGTGTCCACTGTTTTGTTTTTTGGTGTTCTGTGCTTGGGCCATTTTTTGTTGTCTAGTTCTATCGCCTTTTTCCTGAGCTTTTTTTTCTTGTCTTTTCTTTGGCGGGTGCTTGTTTGGCTCTTGGCTTTGTGGTTTCTCTTCGGTGCGTGCTGGATTCAGCTTGATGCCTGTCTCTGGATCTTCTTTGTCCGTCCTTCCTTTTCCTATATGTTCTTTATGCGTTCTCCATGGTAGCGGCTCTTCGGGGGTCTGCACGTTTTTTTGGGATGTTGGTGTCATTGGTCTCTCTTTCGTATCCTTGGGTCCTTGCTTTTGTCTCCGGCTTCCTTTCGGTTTTCTTGGAGCGGGTTTTCATCGCCCTTTTTGGGCTCGATTCTCTCTCCTTTTGTGGTTCGAAGTTCGTCGAGGTACTGATTTTTGTGTGGAGTATTGTTGTGTGGAGTAGCGTTGAGTTTTAGTTGCGTCATATCTTACTTGCCGTGCATAGCGGCTGTCTCAAGAGCATTTCTTCCATAAATTGTGCTCTCTGGCCCCAGAGCATTAATATTGGCGCCTCTTTCAAGTAGAAGCTGAGCGATTGCAAAACTTCCGTCCTTCGCGGCGAATTGAAGAGCTGTTCCTCGGTCCGAATAAAAACCATGGTCAAAAGCAGGCGGGTTTGCATGGGCACCATTGTCCAGTAAAAGCTTTACCGCCTCCAGATGACGTCCTCTCGTAGCAGCCATTAGAGGTGTGATATTGCGTTTCCAGTGATGATTTACTGGTGCTCCATGTTCTAAAAGTATGCGGATCATGTCCAGCTTGCCATTCTCAGCAGCGATCACCAATGGTGTATCTTCATCTCCACTGAATGGCCAATGCACAATCGCACCACGGCTTAGAAGAAGTCTGGTAACCTTGAAATTTTGACTTATTCTGGGCAAGTGATCCAGTTTCAGAGAAGATTGAAGGGGTAATTCTTCATCCGCCGAGGTGTCATAGTTGATGGCTGCACCTTTTTCCAGAAGCAGCAGCGCCATCTCAACATCATCTGACCATGCTGCTAAATTCAAGGCAGTAACTTTGATGCCTTTGTGATATTTCCACCACGTGTCAACATTAATGGCAGACTCGAGCAAGAATTCCACTAGGTCAAATCGTCTCCATCTTACGGCAGTATGAAAAAATGGCTCAAGATCCCATTTTAAAGCAGTATGAAGAACTGGTTCCAGATTATCTTCCGAGTGTTGTTCTCTTAAGCCATCGATTTGTTGGCACAGATAAATGAACATCGACGAGTCGACTATTGTTTGTGAGGTGATTGCCATGTGCAGCATTGTAGCCCTTTCGGATACTGAGCGCATTTTCCGTACTTTCCATGGCTCAGGCCTGTCTCTATATTTGTCTCCCATTAAGTCATCGTCTCCGGGCAGTTGGAACCAGCAAATCTCTTCCACAGGTCTGGTGTCAACGCATCCCCCTGAATTTATAAGATGGCGGACTATTGCAACATCGCCTGTTTGAATAGCATGGCACAGTTGAATCCTTTTAAAGGAAATCACTGCGGAATCACCTGCGGATTCAAGAACTCCAACAATATCTGGGCGACTTTCCTGTGCTTTCGCTGTTTCAATCACCGTCATCAAGGTTTCAGCATCAGGACTCAAAGCCAGAGCGCTCACGTCTGCGTTGAAATCTAATAAAAGCTTGGTCAGAACAAGATTTTTGCTCTCCGCCGCTGTTACTAAAGCTGTTCGAGGGGGTCCGGAGTTCGTCGTGGGGGCGTCCACATCTGCACCATGCTCCAGAAGTAATCTCACTGCTTCGATACATTCGGATTCCACTGCTGCTTGAAGTGCTGTTCTTCCGTTCGGTCCTTGTGGTCGCTCGTTGATGTTTGATCCTTTCTCGAGCAACATTCGCACCATCTCGGTATTGCCTCTTGCTGCAGCTGCCTGGAGTGCAGTCCCGAGGAAAGACCTCGCTTTGAAAGACATATACTCCTCAAAGGTCTTGTCGGAGAAAAGGTAATCGTAAAACGCCGCTTGAACATGAACATCTGCGTTGCTTTCCAGGAGGGGGCGCAGCAAGTCGGTCTGGCCGCTAACGACCGCAAGGCTCAATGCTGTCACTCTACCCCAACGTTCGTCGACTAAGTCCTTACTCCAATCGTCATCATCAAAAAAGACCTTAGGATTGCCCCACCCATCGTTGACGAAAACATTAACGTTTGCGCCAGCCTTGATCAGAAATTGGACCATCTCAATGTCTCTCCTCTGAATCGCTGATAGAAGAGCGGAATCGCCAATCGATTTGACGCTAGAATCTTTTGAGACAGGGACCGCTACTTCTTTGGAAAGTAACTTTGACATACTAATCGACGTGCAATCTCGAAGCAGTCTCCCCTTTGTACTTTCAAAATTTTTAGATCTCAAGACGTCGAGTCCAAGTTTCAAAAGCAATTTCATCATCTCATCGTTATTGCTTTTGACGGCCTCAGACAATAGCTGCGTAGAGCGCAACGCGAAGTCCTTCAGGCCGTTATCCGTACGTAGAAGATCTTGTACAAAGCTCTCCCGCCCAGTCTGCACTCCAAAACGGAGCAATTGAAACCGAAATGCTTGAAGGGTTGGCGAGTTATTTTGCAGGAGAGTTCCCATGCTTTGAAGTGGAACATTGTCCGCTATCCAGTGCATAGCTTGATTGTATTCGACAGTGGACCCATTGAGTAGACTATTAGAACACAAATATATGATAACTTCAATTAGGTAGAGGCCGGCCGAAGGTTGGGGAGGTCCAAGTAAGGTGTCGATAGTCAAATCTCTTTCACCTGGTTTTCTTTCCGGCATATTTGCTAGCATTTCTGGTAACCTTCGCTCGAGTCTCTTCAATTGGTCTAAAGCGTCTTCATTCCGAGCATTTAGAGGATTCAGAGCGTGGCTAACGAGAAGTGGTGCGAAGGAGCCAATGATCTGGGTATTATGCCATTCGTTCGAAAGCTGCACAGATGTTTCTAATGGTGTGCCCGCCGAAAGTAAACTCGCTTCATATTCTGTATCAAGACAATCAAAAGACTTCAAGGGATCCCAGAAGTCAGACCACATAGCATCGAAGAAATCCGGTCGGAATAGAGTTTGCGGAGTATGGTCTAGAAAAACCGTTCAGCTCGATCAAGTGTAAAGATTGTGAGAAATCGACATACTCAAGTCCAGCAAATCAAACAAATCCAAACACTGGAGGTATGGGATCTGTCTTCTTTTTACGAGACACAATGCTCCTGCAGCAAGAATTAGCATTATTCCTCTTTTACTTAAATAAGCCATAAACTTCGAGGGATCGTCTCTTTTGATCAATGAAGCGTCTACATTCCTCTATCTAAACTCGAAAGTCAAGATTGAAATAGGGAATCATCCAAAAGTTGCAATCAATGCACTATGCGCGAGATAGGGAAAGTGGGTTATGGCTAATGGAGCTGAATCTTACCATTGCTTTGTGCCTCATTGTAGGGATAATTTAAAAGAAAAGTGATAGTATCATCCTCAGCATCTTGTGCTAGATCTTCTTGGGAAGCAGTTCGTATAGAGGTAACGGGGCCGGGCGTATTGACCGCGACTAGTGACTGTTCCGTATTACGCGGTGCCTCAGCGGGAGGAGTGTGAACAGAGATGCCCTCAGGGGTTGGTGGGGCAGGCGAAAGATTTTGGATCCTTTTTAGCTCAATGATCGTAAATTGATACCTCGCCTTTTTGATTTTCTTCTCCGGTATTTCTTGACCAAATAAAGTGACTTCTGTCGGCTTTTCAAAGCGTTGACGCTTTGCCGCCTTGCATAGAATATATTCCCAGCTCGCACTATTAACATTCTTGGTGAAGTTCCAGTGAGGCTCTTTGAACTTCCTTTGGTATTGGTTTTTTCTAGTGAGGTTGATTAGATTGAGTCTGCCACGGCACAAAGGGAGTCTTACGATGCAACAAATTTGTATTTCGACTCCATATGCTTCATGATATCTTCGAGTTTCGTGCCTTCGTGGCGAAGTTGCTGCAGTGTTGATTTGTGTGCTTCCCATTCTTCCAGGGAGGGAGGTTTTGTGGTTGCTGGTGGCATTGCGCTTCTTTGATGGAGAAGCAACCTCCGAGGACGTAGACTCACAGATTCCTAGATTATGTCTACCCAAGCGTGACTCAAACAAAGGACAAATTTGGGGTATTTGATGGGGTACGGGCCCTTACATACAATACTATAATTGATGGTTGATTCATTCTTCGTCAATTCGAAAATATTGCGGCATTAATTCAGCCCGATGTGTGTCAGCACTCAGCCTCAACGCCCGAATTCCTATGGCTCATGCAGCCCAACGAATGCGGGTAGGGCGCTTTCTCATTGGAAGTTGCGAAAATATTATCGTCGGATTATCATATTCGGCGTGCCTTTATTCAACTTGGATTTCAGATGCGATATCAAATCCGATTCGTGGACTCTCTTCTTTGGGAAAAGCTCTGGAAGAGGCGATACCAGATTTGATCCATGGGGACGCTCAGAGTGGTCAATTCCAAAATATTACTGGGGCTGATCCTTGAGCCAGCAGGGCCACGCACAGAACCAATCAGTTTCCACTGCTTTCACTGGATTTACACAGAACCACGGGATATAAGAATGCTCATAATTTCTTCATCAGGACCGAGTGTAGTGTTAGATATCACTACTAACCGATATAGCGATTATTCAATCTTGAAACACCGACCAAGGGATGTTGGAGACTACCAAGTCACAACCCAACATTTTCACGGACGCTTCCAACAAGATGCTCAGACGCGCCATCATGTTTCAGAAAATGATCAAGAGAATTTCCAAAAGAAAGGTATCTCCTTGTGACGAGTCACTGTCCAGAGTAAGTGCTAACCCATGAGACATTCAGGATGCAGGGGGATCTCCTTTCATCAAAACGGTCAAGATTTACCGTTCAGAGGCGCAAGTGATAGATGTCAAGATGATACTCGATACCGGATGCGAAGCCTATAATCTCATAACATATCAAGTCGTTGATAACATGCACAAGGCCGAGGAGATCAACGGCTCTGCGGAACTTATCTGTATCTGCCTCAACGGCGAGACCCTTGCCTCGATGGGAACGATCAACCTGCGCTGGAAGGGGCGCGGCTTCCGAAAGATCTTTGAAACAACTTTCCACGTTATTGGGGGAGATAACATGTCTTGGCAAGTCATCCTCGGAGCCGAAACAATAAAAAGGGAATGCATCTTGAAATTTATGGGCTTTGGGGGACGTACTATCCTTCCCAAAAAGACAAAAGGTATACAGCCATGGATCAACTTTTCAAGTACCAACTGACCGTTGGCATGCAGATGAGCGAGCGAGAGAAGATCAGCGGAGAAGAGAACATGACGAAGAAGTCGCTAGAAATGCTGCTGAGGTAGCTGCAAATGAAAATGCCAAAGGGTCGTCTGCAAGCTGGTCCAACTGGGAGTGGGACGAAAGTCGCCAGTCGTACTATCGAGCGAGACTTATTGGCAGTACGTTCGAGATGTAACCGGCTCTATAACACGCGTATGCTGACTCGAAACGCAGATGCTTGGGAGTATCAATACTCCACCAACCCCACTTGATCAACCAGGGGTCTTTCAGAAAATTGTTCAGCGGGGAAATTCTTTTCATGGATCTGTCAGGGAAAACAGCAGGATGAACGTCTAGTTGCTATTTCTGAATTCGTGCTCTTTGTCTAATACTGTGATTATGGAAATTTGATTGCATATCACAGACCTAAATCTTCTACACCCCTTGCCTTTTTTTTCTGTTTCGTTTTCTTGGGTTTTGCCACAAAAATTGCATTCGAGAATCGAAAGCCTTTCCATGTGCATCTCTTTGTTAAACCTCAAGTGTAGACGATATTTTATCTACGCAGTACTTGTCCATCCGTTACTAGTAGAAATAAAAACTACCTGAACCGCGGCAAATCTGTTCGTAATTAGAGTTAATTTTATTCCATATGACGTTAAGAGCATGGAAGTTCTTACGTTGAAGTTGCTATGAAAATTTCTCCCCTTTTGGTAGAAGTGAAAGAAGAAATACAGGCCGCGAATATCAGAGTGAAAAGGACAATGATGCCCAGTCGGAGTTTCATGGAAGGGACGCAAAATAGGACAACTGTTGACAAGATTGGAAGCAAGGACGCAACAATGGTAGTGACAAATGAAGTGTATCTTTCTATGGTCCTGCTCGAGTAAGACACAATTCCGGACTCTAGATCACCGGAATTCAGAGGGCGATGCCTAAAAGTGTGGCAAAACCAAGCAATGAATTTCCGACTGAACCATCGAGAAAAGCTGTCTTCGCATCCAATAGAGTTTAAAGTAAGCAGATCGGCGTGTGAGTTGATAGGCTGATGAAGTCTGCCCCATGTCTCGCTATCTGCTCCAATCAAGGCGAGGTTTCCGTACGCTTGTCTTTCAAGCCAATCTTGTAGCTCTCTTAGGTCATGGTTATCTGGCTTCGCGAGGCGATTTATGACCGATTGCTGCACAATTGTATCGTCTAACCCCAACATCAGCTGCATAGTGATTGAGGCGAGTTTTACCCTCTTACAATATTCCTTCAACTTACTACGAATAGAAAGGACAATCTTCAACTGCTCATCGTTCTCTTCTGGAGAATCGTTAAGCCAGTACCAGTCTTTGGAATATGTAGCTCGACGCCCCTCTGAAGAGGCACTATCAGCAGCTTCAAGACGACAAAGCTTCTGCTCGAGATGCACCAATTCTGCTTGGAGATAAAGTAGATTACGTGTGCCGAGACTACTAAAACGTCGAAATACGGCATTTTCAGAGTACTGGGCCATATGGCATGCCAGCCTCGGGTATCCTTCAACAGGTCGGGATGTTGGATTATCCATAGTTTATTTGAACGAGGTTCATTTCCCTGAACTGAGGTCACATGGGTAGAAGTGTAAACCAAGTAAACGGTACTGAATTGACTGCTGTTTTTACAATGGTAGGTAGCCCATACATATAGGCCCTACATGCTCTAAATCACATGCCCTAAACCCCTTATCCGGCTGAGCCTTCAGCTATATCGGCAATGCCGATATTCAGTCCCTATATCGGTGTCCCCGATTCCAACTTTACGGGGGCGTTCAGCTCCATAGGTAACTTAGAAACCTAATTCCAACATCACCAACAAGAAATTGTACCGAAAACTGCCTTGCTTCGCCCGCACGAAGCCTTCTGCTTCCTGCATGATTCAACATGGGGGAGGAAGGACCAAGTCTACTCGCTGAGAGTGAGTTGACTTCGGGAGTAGCCGCTCCATCTTCTACAAAGATTTCGCGACGCCGGTCATTGGCAAAAGCGATCGTTATCAAATTCGCCCAATGACTGACACCAGAGTGTCAAAAAAGTAATCAAGGTATTCCGAATATTCACGATTAGTTTGAATAGAATATAATTACCGTAATACTTAGATAATTTGATTGGAATAGAATATATGATCATGGATATTCATGAATGCTTCAATTGCTGTACACGTGACAGGCCCAGCACGTGATACACCAGCCAAATTAGGTAGGTATGGCTCCCAGCGTAGCGTTGTCTTTGCAAGCCTTTGGCATACTAATTAGACAGCGATGCGGCGCTAAGGTGACACTAGAGCGCGGCACCTACCTAATTCGGCCAGTATATCACGTGCTCCAGTCACGTGTACAGTAATCGAAGTATTCGTGAATATTCATGATTACCTTAATTAGAATCTGATCAGAATATCACTAGTAGGTATTTCTGATGAATAGATTAGATTACTAGCCGGTATTCTAACCTAATGATCTAATCTATTCATTTGACACACTGCTTGAAACAAGTGGAACAGCTCATAGCCCAGAATTCAAGCAGGATATCGGAGAACCTCGAGCTCATCACATCAGTTATGACCGTAAGGGAAAGCGGGATGTTAATTAAGCAGAGCCAAACGCTGGGCGTCTTAACGTTCGTTGCAACAGTGGTCCTTCCTTTCAACCTAGTTGCGGCGATTCTTGGCATGCAGACGGGATACGGGTACAGTCAACCAGAGTCCAGAGGCTCTGAACCCAGCCAGAAGAAACCTTGGATTTTCTGGGTGGCATCCATCGGGGCATTTTTCTGCATCTGGGCAGTTTTTGGATTGTACAAGTTTGCTGCTATACATATTCGCATCTCCTTCCAATCTCGAGGAATGGAATAAGTCCGTCATTTGTCAAAGATTGTTTGATTTGTGTTATCTGGGTCCTATTACTACTTCAACGCAAATAAGGGCCTTGACGTGCAGCCACCGATCTCTAAACACGTCGCTTCTTCATAGGGATTCCTTTAGCTCGAGAAACATCGCTGGCTCAAACTTCCCGTCACCTCCTGATGGCGAAGGTGACTGCGGTGCAGTTGCATTGAAAAAGCATGGTAGTGGTTTCTTAAAAATTTAAGCAAGGATGAGATTGACGCTGACAGAGGCAAGAGCGTTATGGCAGCTTTGGACATTGCCTCCGCTCAAGAATCAAGAGGATGGTATTTCCTCCGTCAGCTGTCGCTGCTAAGCGGCTTGGTTCTTGGGTTGACGTCAAATTAGTACTTTGTTTATATAACTCGTATTTACTCTTAGTGCTACAATGTTCCTCCTCCTGTGACTCTGGGAATCCCGCAGGCTCTCCACACCACTCGATCCACCCCCACCTCTCCCCTTTTCTCACACACTTTCTTCCCTTCACCCCAGGTCCCCATCAAAGCACTTCCTCCACCCCTCTAGAACTTCCTCAAAACATCATTCACCATATCCCCACCAAATGTAGCCCCGGCACCGAACATGGCCGCATTCCCAAACTTCGTCGCCATGCCCTTAACCCACTCATGATGCTTCGGGTTCTCGGGGTGGGCAGGGTGATTCGGGTCCTGTGCTTGTTGAGCCATGGCTCCCGGGTTGAATTGTTGTGCGGGATTGGGGTTGTAACGAGGGTCGATGTAACCTGAAGGTTGGCCATTTTGCTAAAAGTTGGTTAGAATTGAAGGATTATAGAGATATGGAAGTGGGCTTACGGGTAATTGAGCCATTATGGACTGGAATTGAGGTGGTGAGAGGGCGTTCGAAGCTTGTAGGAACTCGAGCTCGCTACGGATCGTGGACAGGGAGCGGTTGATTTGAGCTGGGTCTGGCATTTTTTCTTTCCTTTCGATCCTTTCCAGAACTCGAAAACTTGCAAATCAGATCGGAAGGGGAATTGGCTCTGAATATCTTTGCTGACGATTTCTTCCGCTGGGCAAGTGCTTGTCTCAGGAAAACAAAGTACCACACCACCCACCCCACTACGTCATCATTGAATTCTGCCGCTCTTCACCGCCCCCCGTCTCTTTGGGATCTCTAGAACAATCAACAAATGCACCGCCTCCCTCTTCTCTGCCGGCGATTCTCAGCCATGGCCTCCTCTTCGAATTACTCCCTTGCAAGCACAATCAAGCTTAACAATGGCCTCGAGATGCCGCGCATCCACCTCGGCGTCTACATGACCTCGGGAAGCGAGACTAGCAGAGCCGTAACCCACGCGCTCTCAGCCGGATACCGCGCCTTCGACTCCGCAGAATGGTACGTCAATGAGCGGGAAGTGGGATCCGCCATCAATTCATATCTCTCTTCTTCTGCCAACGACGGTCTTGGACTGCAAAGACAGGAGGTCTGGTTCACGACGAAGCTGAAGACGAATTCGAGCTATGATGCGACGACGAAGGCGATTAAGAGGAGTCTGGAGAGGAGCAAGCTCGCGTATTTGGATCTCTATCTTTTGCACAGTCCATATGGAGGGAAGGAGAAGAGATTGGAGTGTTGGAGGGCGGTGGAGGATGCGATTGAGGAGGGTGTCGTGCGGGCAGGGGGAGTTAGTAATTTTGGGGTTAGACACGTGAGTATACTTATTAGGTGAGAATGAATGGGAACTGACAGGCGTTCTGCAGTTGCAAGAACTGCTCGATTCCAAGCCTCGAATCATACCCGCAGTCAACCAAATCGAAGTCCACCCTTTCAACACCCAACCTGACATCACTTCTTTCTGCCGCGAGCACAACATTGTGGTTGAAGCATATGCGCCGCTTGCAAGGGCGCTCAGGATGAAGCATCCTAAAATCGTGGAGTTGAGTAGGAAGTATAAATGCGAGCCTGCACAGTTGATGGTAAGGTGGAGTCTGCAGAAGGGGTACGTGCCATTGCCGAAGAGTGTGCAGAAGGGTAGGATCGTTAGCAATGCGAAGGTCGAGGGGTTCGAAATCGAGGAGGGGGATATGGAGGCTTTGGATGGGCTGGATGAGCACTTGGTGACGGATTGGGATCCTACTGGTGCTGACTGAGGGTGTTGGAAGTAATGGCAGAACGCCTGGAACGCAAATATTCAAGGAGGCTGTCGAGGAGAGGGACCTGAACGTCTTGCAAGTCCTAGGACGAGGTTTCCTGGGGAGCGACTTCTTAAACAACAAGAACCCTGAAGTTGTACCAGCATCGAGGGGAACAATGAGGACATGTACGGAATGACAACAGAGAAGGCACACAGCACTCAGGTCAACTCGACCGGGACTCGATGATAGGAAGCAAACAGCAATCAGAGCAGCAAGGCTGATATTTTACCTCCAAAAGCTCTGCCTCGTCGCTCCGAACCCGTGACTCGCATCTGGGCGTGGGTTGTGCATCGCTCGGTTGCTTGTTTTTACACTTCCCCTCCCTGAGACCCCCACCTGTGTGTAGTTGAGCGATTTACGTGAAAAGAACGTGGACCTGGCAGGAAAGCTGCAAACAGCGTGGACCTGGAAAAGATTTTCAATCGCAACTGACATGTGGAGGGAGGGGGAAAAGGAAGGGGCTGCGCAAACTCAGTCCACAAAAGATTTTCGCAGCCCTCCTTGATCTTGATCATGTTCTTGTTCTTGTTCTGCTGGAGCAACACGCCACTCGGGGCTGCTCCGCGGGGGAGGGGGACGGTGGACGGGGGGGGGGGGGGGGGGGGGGGGGGGGGGGGGGGGGGGGGGGGGGGGGGGGGGGGGGGGGGGGGGCTGGCGATCCCTGCGTTTTTCGCTCCAGCCTGCTGGGACGATTTTTTTTTTAAGGGCATACGGTACGGTACGGTACGGTACAGCACTGCGCAGTGGGCCTGCACAGTCGTGACTGCGAGGATCGGATCGGAGAATTGGCCCTGGTGGCCTCGCCTGGCAGAGCTCTCCCTGCCCTGCCATGCCCTGCCATGCCCTGCAAAGAGCGCGAGCAGCCCGGATTGGCGAATCACGGCGCAGCGATAAGGCGCGGTGACACCGGTCCGTTATCAACAGCCGCCAGTAGCAGCCCAGCCCAGCGCAGCCCAGCGCAGCCCAGTGCAGCCCAGAGCCAACCACATCTCCCGCTGCAAAACTCTTCTCCTTGCCTCCTCCTTGTCTCCTCGAGACATCAAATCTAGTTCGATCTTTTCCCATATGCGCATGCAAAATACACTTCAAGTCAGCCCGCCTCGCCCATCTCGGTGAAGCACATCGTATCCACGCAGCCCCACGCAAATCTCCCAACCGCGGTGCATTTGTCGGTTTTTGTCCCTTCACGCCCATGAGAGCACGAGGGCGGCCAGGTGTGAAGCCGCGCTACTGGCTCCCACGGTGCTGTTGACGCACAGCTGCTGCAACACCCCGAGCAAGTGCAGTTGCACGCAGTTGCACGCAGCCTCTCCTCTCCTTTCTTCTTCCTCCGATCTGGGACCAGCAGCCCGCTCGAGTTGTCCTCGCTGCCCTCAGTGGTCCCACCGTCCCGAACAACAGGCCAGCTCAGGACGATTTCTTCCGCGCTCAAGCTCCCCCCCACCAAGCAGATAAAAAGCTCCCGCTTCCCAAGCTCGAGCTTCCTCTCCCAAGAACACCATCCGGCCTCTGCTCAACCTCGCCCCAGTTGACAGCATCTACCTCTACCTCGTCTGCCTCGTCTCTTTCACTCTAGGGACCCTCTCACAGCAGTCATGTCCAACCTCCCCTCCGAGCCCGAGTTCGAGCAGGCCTACAAAGGTATGGCCCCACCCTGCGTCTGCGTCTGCTTATCTATTGGATGATCTGCGCCCCGGACAAGGCTGACAAGGCACGCGACCAACCAGAGCTAGTCTCAACCCTCGAAAACAGCACCCTCTTCGAGCAGCATCCCGAATACAAGACCGCCCTCAAGATCGTCTCCATCCCCGAACGGATCATCCAGTTCCGCGTCGTCTGGGAGGACGACAAGAACCAGGTCCAGGTCAATCGCGGCTACCGGGTGCAATTCAACTCTGCTCTCGGCCCATACAAGGGCGGTCTCCGTCTGCATCCCACCGTCAACTTGTCTGTTCTGAAATTCTTGGGCTTCGAGCAGATCTTCAAGAATGCCTTGACTGGATGTAAGTTCACGTGACAAATCTCCTCTTTTCGGTCCGGGCACGAGGCTGATCAATGGCAGTGAACATCGGTGGCGGCAAGGGAGGAGCAGACTTCGACCCCAAAGGCAAGTCCGATAACGAGATCCGCAAGTTCTGCGTTTCCTTCATGCGCGAGTTGAGCAAGCATATCGGTGCCGACACCGATGTCCCAGCCGGAGACATTGGTGTTGGTGGACGAGAGATTGGCTACATGTTCGGTGCATATAAGGCTGCCCAGAATAAGTGGGAGGGCATCTTGACCGGAAAGGGTGGAAGCTGGGGTGGATCTTTGATCCGACCTGAGGCTACGGGATACGGTCTTATCTACGTGCGTGCCCCCCTTGTTCCCCCTCCAATCCACTTCTTAATTAGAGGAATGCAGTACGTCGCCCACATGATCGCTTTCGCCAACCAAGGCACCTTCAAAGGCAAGACAGTGGCCATCTCCGGCTCCGGCAACGTCGCCCAATACGCAGCTCTCAAGGCCATCGAGCTTGGCGCAACCGTTGTCTCGCTTTCCGACTCAAAGGGTGCCCTCGTCTCGACCGATGGAAACTCTGTCACTCCCGAAGATATCAACGCAATTGCCACCCTGAAGCTCAAGCGCCAATCACTCACTGACTTCAAGCACGACGGAAAGTACCAGTACATTGATGGTGCCCGTCCTTGGACGCACGTTAAGGTCGATATTGCGCTCCCCTGCGCTACACAGAACGAGGTCAGCAAGGAGGAGGCTGAGGCGCTGGTTGCCAGCGGTGCGCGATTTATTGCTGAGGGTTCAAACATGGGCTGCACACAAGATGCCATTGATGTCTTTGAGGCCCACCGAAAGTCCAACGGCGACAAGGCGATCTGGTATGCACCTGGCAAGGCTGCCAACGCTGGTGGTGTCGCTGTTTCCGGACTCGAGATGGCACAGAACAGCGCGAGACTCAGCTGGACAAGCAAGGAGGTCGATGAGAAGTTGAAGGGCATCATGGAGGCTGCGTTTAAGAACGGACTGGAGACTGCGAAGAAGTATGTCCAGGCCAAGGATGGAGAGTTCCCTTCGCTGGTTGCCGGCAGCAATATTGCTGGTTTTGTTAAGGTAGCGGCCGCCATGCATGACCAGGGTGATTGGTGGTAGATATTTGTATAGTTTAGGTTTGGGGATTTGTATGGTGTACTTCATCGTTCGATTGGCCAATTTGGGATGGGATATCTCCTAGCTGAGGCTTTTCTACTCGGGACGATAATTCAATGACGAAATGAACTCGACAGTCTTCTTTCTTTTTCGTCCCTGAATCATGACTCGGCTCAAATGGGCTCTTCGCCGTCACTTACCGAAACATGTAGGAGCATGTCGGTTAGGAATACAAAGCCGATGCGGCTTGGGGATCACGGGACTACGCTTAATACTTTACCGCAACCATTCTATTTATGAATCTAGTTGGCCAGCGAATGATGCCTTCTCAACCCTTGCCCTCTTCCTTCCTCAACACATGGCTCAAGGGATGCGCATGTGGATGATCAGTTACTGTTTGTGGAATTCCTGAGATCAGACGATTCATCGGTGGCTGTGCTGAGCCGAGTCCCTGCATGAGGGGCTCCGCCGGGGTGAAACGAGGGGCTCCCCCCCCCTCCGTAGAAGGCCCCTGTGATTTGGGGTAACCTTAAACATGCCGCCCGTTGCGGCGGTTAGAAAATGTTTTGAATTCTCGTGTTTGAAACTTTTCATCATGTTTCTTGTTTGCGCTTGGGGAGAAATGTTCGGATGAATTGTTTCGACTTAGGGGGTCGCGAATGGGATCTGAGGGTCAGGACTCAGGCTGCGAGTGCAGCTACGTCTGCAAACATGTCCACTTGCTCGTGTCCACTTGCTCATTGTCGCGCAGGAGAAGGATTTCGTGAGATCACGAACAGTCTCCAAACGCAGAGGGGGTTTCCCGCCTGAAGCTCCAGTTGAAGTCACTCCTGGGCAATTTTGGACTTCTTGCAGTCGACGAGTTATCTTTAAACGCGATCAAGTGACGGGGAGCCACCAGATGATCGAACCCGAAGAAAAGTAATTTGAATTTTCCTTGAATTTTCGCCTTCCGTTCTTGATTCTGCGCACGTGTGTTATCAAGCCCACCTTTTAGCGTCCGTCTGTTGAACTTCGTTTTCGGGTTTCCCAGACCGCAGCGCCATCCACGGTGCCGAGCGCTGCGCGCAGCACCTACTAGGCAACGGGCTGGGAGCGCAATGAGAGCGCTGGAATTATTGATATAGGACTCCTTGAAATCTTTGCCTGTGAGATGGTGGTGCTCAAGTAAACCCCCCTTCGCTTGAGAGTAAACTGCTGGCACACTCCCAGATTGAACAACATCTTCAGATTGGCGAGACAAATGATTCCTACCAAACCTATATCTACTTCTATTATTATTGAGCTGTTCCCATTTCTGAACATAGTCCTTTTTCATTATTCGTAATACCTGGCCTCAGCATATGAAATCGCTCTTCAGTGATTGATTATTCATACCCAATTCACCCACCTTCCAGTACTTCTGAAATATCGAGTCTGTCTCCTCTTTTCTTAAGTTCTGTAAACTGAAAGCATGATAAATAAGTCGTCTACCATAGATTTTGTACTATTCATACTCCTGGGCCTTCGTTTCACCCACCGCTCTCGTCGACCATGAGAGCACCCTCTTCTGAGCCCACGCCACCAAATTTGTCAGGCTCAGGCCCCGCAACAACCACGTAGAAGTGGCCATTGATACTAGGGAAACAAAGTCTTACGCATTTGCGCGCTGTCTCCCCTTTCCCTCACGGGAAGCTACAGCCTGCGAGTTCAATATACCTGCACCCCGCCTGCGACTTTTCTGTGTCTACTACCTCTCAAATTGCTTCGATACAAATAGAAGAGTACAAGCCAACCAGGCTACTTGGCAAGCAAGATGGAAGGCTGCATCGTCAATTATTACAAGCCGAAGCTAATCCCCACGCGCTCAGTATACCGGCAAAGAACAAGTCGATGTAAGACGAAGTGGCTGGTTGTCAGCTTACTCCTTTAGATCTCGTTCGCGCTCACCAGAGCAGTAGCGGGATCAAGCGATTTGACGAAGAGTTTCGGAAGATTGGCATGGAGACTAAGTATAAGAGTAGTTCGTACGAGGGTAGATATTACATTCTATTTTTTCGCCGAATGACCTAATTCCAGGGGCCCACACTAACCGCCTACTCCTTATTTCTAAGTCGAGGGGACTCAAGTCGACTTGTGAGCCAAGATCTGAACCGCGAAATAGCTTCGAGCTTCATTCATGTCATCTGACTTCAAACTGCAAAGTTTTGTATAAGAGCTAATAAAACAAAAGAGCCCAGACTTTCTATGACACCTTAGAAGCCATTCAATTCGCTGGAAGAGAGATTAATGTCATCACGTGATCCTCTTCTAACACTGTCTACTGAAATTTGATGCTATGGACCAGCGAGTGCCAAGGATTTGCCCTTGGAGGGAAGCATAAATCCTCCACTGATATTATGGAAAGAAAAAGCCCGATGAAATTGAGGATAAAAGAGGAGCACAGAATCATGCCGTTTACCGCGCATCGGAATTGTGTTTCCGTTTCCTCAAGATTTACATCTGAAACCCCATTCATTCTATTTGAAGGGCCTCGAGCAAATCTGTCTCACGAACCAACCCAAACATCTCGATTAAAATTAAATCAATGCAACTTTCATGCCTATGGGTTATTTCGACCAATCTTGCAAGTTTGATCTGCTTGACCGTCCGCTTGCTCTCGACTCCGAGAGCTGCCCCCACCTTCACAGAGCTGACTTCTATTTCAAGAAGAAGAGAAAATCATTTGATGAGCAAATCCAAATATATCACCCAAGATTAGGTCACGCTCTTGGCCCAAAGAACAAGACCAGATCAATGGTTTTCCAGCTCCACCGTAATCTTCTCAAAAATCCCGACTCCCTCTCTTCCAAGCGCAGTTCCCACCCCCACGGCTTCCGCACCCACGGAACTCATCCTTCGAAACCCATCGGCATCCTTAACACCTCCAATACCGATAATAGAAATCGATCTCACATCCTCATGCTCGCTCTTATCCAGCAACCCTCTTATCGTCTTCACGTTTCCCAAGGCAAGAGGATGCAATGCATCGCCCGCCATGCCGCCAATCCCTTCTCCGGTGACCGATCCCAATGCTGGCTTGTTTTGGGCGTCGAGAACAAGACATGAACCGAGCGTGTTTGTTGCTGTAATGAAGGAGATTGGACACCCGCCGCCATCCGGGCCTGATGATGTTTCCAGTGCGGAGATGAGCGTTTGAAACTGCCCGTGAAATGTGTAAGGTGGGGTTTTGATGCCGACGTGTAGAACCTTGCCATTTGATGCTGGAGTCGAGGCTTTGGCCTTGGCAATGGCATCAATGTATTCCGTCAAGGCAAATCTATCGTAGGCCGGGGGTGGCTTGTCTGGGATATTGGGACACGAAAGGTTGACTTCCATCATAAGATTCAACCCCAAACTTTTCTTTCGCATGAGCTCTGGGTACGCCTCATCAGGATCACCCAAAACCTTAACTAGGTGGGAGCAACATCTTCCCACCTCCTCAGCTGTTCCCGTGACAGAAACAATAAACGGCTTTGGTCCCGAAGAGGACTCTAAGCTTAGCATCCCCTCTTGGCTCATGTTCACTAGCATTTCCACGTACTGCTCAAATGCGATTGGGCTGTAGCCAAGCGTGTTGAGAGAGCTTGTTTCGCCATCACGGACCGAAACCCGACCTTCTGAGGATGCGACGTCGACTGGAGAAGTGGCGTGTCCGGTTGAGGAAGAGAAGAAGGTATATTGATGTGTTGATGCATGCTGATTGAAGGCTTTCCAGAGGGAGGTTCTTATCGTGACTGCCCCAGTGAAGGGGCAGGCGTAGAGAGCGGCAAGATTTTCACGGGTTGTGGCCCAAGGATTGGAGGAGTTGAGGAGAGGGGGCCAGATTGAGAATTTCGATTTGATGTTCATGGCTGTTTCGTGGAAGTGAGCACTTGGTTATGATGGTGTGGAAGGGTGGGGCGTGGAGTTGGAAATAAAGTTAGAAGTCATGATCACGAGACTCGAGCTGAAGGTGCCAACTGGAATTTGGAATAACGAGCTCAATAAAGAGGAAGATGTGTCAGAATTGAATTGAATTGATTGATTTATGCACATAATAAAATATAGGTCGAGCGTAAATAATTTTGCTCATCTCTAAGGTCATCGATTCGCTCGGTATCAAACCCATCATTCGCCACCATGGGCCCCCCAAACTCCGTGCTCATGTCACAAAACTTCTATTTTGCATCTAAGAAATTTGCATGACCATCGGGCCAGCAACGGTGATTGCGTCTGTGATCGTATTATCCGCAGGCTGCGAGCTGGTGAGGTGGAGATATGTGATGCCAGCAAGGTTTTGAGGGACGACGCAAGCACCGTTGGTAAATGGCACGAAGGCTGCTCCCCCAGGTTGGCCACCATTGAGGAATGCGCAGGTGGTTCCTCCGGTGGCCGTCGTGGTGACTTGAACTGTAGTACCGGCCGCGATAGTGCCGCTGGCGGAAGCTGCAGGTGCAGCTCCGGCAGTCATGGTCAATGCTGGGAATGGAGTGATGGCTAAGTTGGATCCGGATGGGCAAGAGGAGATGAAGCCAGCTGCGAGTGTGAAGACAGCGCGGATGCCAAGAGGGGTGTCGAATGCAGACGGGATGGCGGCTTGCTTGGAGGCTGTGCGAATGAAGGTTTGATGACGTGCCTCAACAGTGACGATCTCAGCGGCCACGGTCAAGATTCCTGGCGTCTTTACGAGCGGTGCGGCAGCGAGATATCTGCATTCAGTTAGCAGTTGCCCCAACCTCAATATCGAGAGGAGCCGTACGCAGAAACTCCAATGTTCTCCAAGACACCCGCGGTCGCAACCATAGCGGCAGCCGTGGTGAATCCAAAGTTGTACGTGCATGGCTGAACAGGTGCGGTCCCAGCCCCCGCAATGGCAGACGTGAGAGTGGTGACATGCGTTTGCTCAGTTCCTCCAATTGACTTCAGGTTGGTAATGTCGGCTGCTGTAAGGCCCAATGCTGCGAAATCAGAGTCCGCGAACTTGGCAAAGCCCTGCTGGTAGAATGCAGTCTCGAGATTCTCTGCTGTCAATGCACTGTTGGGCCATTAGCAAGGCACTCGGCAGATGGAGGATTCTAGAACTCACAATTCAAGAATGTCGATGTCTGTCAACCCGTCCGGTAATCCTGTTGCAGGGTTTTGTCTTGCTTGCAGATATCTCCTCGCCTCTTGCCCATATTCATACGCCCTCCTTGCTTGCGGGCTCAGCTTCGGCTGCGCTGGGAGAGCAGACACAGTAGACACAGTAACCAACCCAACCGCCACCGCTCCCAAAACCTGTCTGATGCTAGGCATTTTGAGTAATGAGTCTGGATGCTGATAGCCGACGACGTGACAGGTAATTCGAACAGAGAAAGGATAGATGTACGCTCAACAAGACTAGCCTGGGCTATTACAACTAGTTGCAATTATAAGGTATTAAGGATGAACAAATGTTAAGAGACCAAAGGAGTGGAAGCGATTGTCGTCTTTTTGAGAAAGCAAACCAGCGCTTGAAGAGGTATCGAAGAAGGCGAGAAGGCGAGAAGGCGATGGGGTGAGCTCTTCAAACATGTGGGAAATCGGAGTATTAAAGAGGGTGTGCAGGATTGCTTGGCAGGCCCGGCTGCAAGCTTGACCGACGAGGATCCGTTCTCGACGTAACAACCTTAAAAAGTCCCTTGGCTTCCCAGGGCCTCACAGGGTGGTTGAATATCCGAAGGTTCAAGGTCGTCAGGCGTTGGGCTTCTTGCAGTGACAGCGGGATGATCTCCCTCTGCTGCAGTCAGCCCAGCCAATGGCAGACCTGGCGCACGCAGGGCAATTCGGAAAGGCGTCGTCCCATGGGCTGCATTGGGCCTAGAAAAGAAGCTTTACGCAAGTGGGATGGATTTGTTCCGGCAGCTGCATGATGTTTGGTTGACTCTGGTGATGATGCTGGCCGCGGGGGGCGGTTCTCGGTCGTCGGACCGGACGGGGATGCTGTCTCACAGCCGTTTGAGGACAGCATCGCAAACCCGCCTCTGCCTCAGAACATGAGACGTGCGCACGGCGGGAGCGCAAATCAAATTTCCTGCGCTTCAATTGCCCAATCGCAAGCCGCTGCACGCCACGGAATTCCGTGCTGCCGTCGCCAAGAACCGCTGCTGTCGCAGCGACGAAAACAGAAGCTGGAAAGACTCCTATCTCTCAATGCCAAATCATGCTGCCTGGGGCTTGCCTGGGGCTTCACACTCGAGTGGCCGCGCTGGCACAACGGCAGACATATTAAGCAACGGGAGGTCGCTGCAAACCGCAGAAGCCAAGGCCTTCCAAGACAGACGTCACCGGGTCTTGGAAGGAAGAATTGGCATCTCCTTCTGTCCCTGAGGGCTGGTGAGATGGTTCTCGGGTTGGGATGTTGCCCACGTCTGGGGCGACCAACACCAAAAGAAAAGCTTGTTCTGTCTAAGTAGAATTGGACGCACCGAGGAGATTGATATGATCGACGGCATCGATGGCCGCGCCTGAGAGAATATGTGATTTGCGCTAGACTATGGATGCATACGCTAAAGCAAAGGAAATACAATGTGAGCACCCCAGTGATATTTTGGTGCAAGCTTCATTTTGCGACTCCTGTCTCCTGCCTCCTCCCAGCCATCGGTGACTTGCCAGCGACCACAACCCCCAAGCTGCAAGTGCTGTTTCCCACTGACAACCCCACGAAGAGCATTGCCTGTGCTTGCTCCCCAAAGAACCGAGCACAGAATGGGACATTTTACATGAAGCGCAGACACTGCCCTCGATATTTGCGCATGTTCATGGACGATCTCTGAACGAGAAGTTCAACACCACATCACCGTCCAAAATCCACTAGAAGATGCAAGTAATCACATGTGTCGCTGCTCACAGAGCATATGGGTTGAGCGAGCGGATGGTGAGGCAACTGCAGGTTCGTTCGTTAGTTTGAGGGGCGCAAAGGAAGCGAGGAACTTACGGAGGACTCTTGGTGAGGTCCGTCTTCAGTATGACGGGAACTCTGGTCATTTCCTTGACGTCTTGAATATACTCGCCGTTCTCCTCGCGAAGAGCGAAAAACTTCAAGTACTTCTCCTTGGCGCTGAGCTTGGCTTCGACCAGCTCCCCTGTGGGAACCTTGGAGTCGGAGCGGGTTCGATGAAGATTGCCAGAGGCAGTGAGCGAGTTCTTCGTTGGCGAGGGTGGGACACTCTGAGTTGGGCGTTCAGCGAGTGAAACGCCAGCAAGGCTGTCGGCGACATCAGAAATATCATCTTCATCGTCGAATAATGCATCAACATCGTCAGTTGACATTGTTCCAGTCTCCATGTGCTTGCGTTGAGCTTCCTCGTGTTCTTTCTTGGCTCTCTCTGCGACAGCAGCCTGTTTCGCGGCGGCGGCGGCATTGGTGGTGCGTTGAGATGCGCCGGCTTTGGGGCGTTCGTCCTCCGGAACGTATGCGGACGAGGGGACACCTTTCTCCCAGTACAGCTCCAGAACGCGCTCATTCTTTCGGAACTCGGCCTTCTTCAGGGGCAATTGGTCACAGTGGACTCGCTTCTCAAATCCATATTCTGGAATGAGAACGTCGAATGCAGAGTCGTAGACGCAGAGAACAATCCCCTCGCTGATGAGCTCACCCCCAACTTCTTCGCGCTTCTTGTCCATGATTCTGCATGATTCAATGTGGACACTCTGTTCTTGGGCATTCTGTGCAGAATCTTTCTTTGTATTGCACGATTCGGTGGTCTTGACCAATGTCTCGATGTCCTCCGTGTACTCGATCTTTCCGTCGGAGAGTACGACCTCAAGTTGCCGGTGAACAACCAAGTCGGCATAACGGCGAGAAGGGTTGGTGAAATGCGTGTAGAGGGGAAGGTTTAAAGCGTAGTGGGGGGACAGATGCTGAGGTGTCTTTCCGGCAATGAAGTATTTGGCACGGTGCATAGCTTTGACAAGGAGAGTCTCCATACCCTTTCGAATATTGGTGTCATCCACCTTGAACAAGCTGTTCTGGAGAGTTCCGCTAGTGGTTGTATCGATCTCGTAGCCAATCTTGTTCATGCGATCGGCAAAAGTCTGGAGCCGGCGGGGGTTGGGCGGCCCCTGTCGACGCAGGAGCGCCTTCTCCGGCAGACCCTTAGCGATCTTCTGTGCGACATATGCGTTTGCCTTGTGCATTAACTCTTCGATCAATTCGTGCGATGGAGTTGAATCGAAAATGTTTTGTTCTACCGGGACATTCTCGTCATCGAGCTGGTAGATGAGCCTCAATGGGGCGATTGTCTCTCCGTCGGTGCCGAGACGCTGCTCGCGCCATTTTTGTGCTACGGCCTTGAATCGGTCAGTATCGAGTGACAAAGGCAGGTTAAGTGAGTACTTACATGGAGAATTTGTATTTGCTTGAAATCGGCTCCATCAAGCTTGGTATCAAGGCTGCCAGAAAGTACGGCATCAACCTCCTTGTAGGTCAATTTGCCAGAACTCTTGACGATACTCTTCCCAATCCATGTCTCTTCATCCGAGACTGCGCCAGTGTGCGCATGGACTTTGAAGATAACACTGACTGTGAGTCGATCTTTGCCAGGAAGCAATGAGCAGACCTCGGACGCGATCTTTGGCGGGAGCATCGCGCAAGATCCTAAATGATGGGAATGATTAGCAATGAGGCCAAAAGGGTTAGTGATGAGTCCAAGAAAGAAAAATAAGAAAGAAAAAAAGGACCCCCTCTCCCCCCGGTCTGAAGTGCCTAGGAGCTCCCTCTCGTGATGGAGCTTCGTGTCGAGATGATTATTGAGTAATTGCGGTGTTCCAGCAGCATAGTCGCAAACAGTACGGCAATATCTCTTCTGCGAGATGTTGGTGGCCTGCGCAAGTAGGCGCGCCGATATCTTCGTGGAGGAGTTTTTGTGGTTCCAGAGGCTTTTTCGCGATGGTTTTGCGTCTTGAGATGATTCTCGTGATTGGTCTTAGTTGAAAAGGCTATGCCGTAAGGAGCATATGTATATCTCTTGTTCTTGGTGCTATCGGCAACCCGCTGCCGCAGTTGAGGGCGTTTCCTAGCCAATTCGTTGACCTTCTCGATTCCCTCAAGTCCTCGAGGCCTTGGAGATAGAGAGAAATCGACACCAGGTTGCGAGTGCAGGGTCCGGTGTATTGAAGATCGTTGACATCCCATGCACATAATTGATCAGTCCCAAAGGGAGAGGAGCCACCACCATTCTTTCCCATCACAACCCAGAAATCAAAACCCAGTGCAGCTTTAAGGAGACCAAATAGAGCCTGTAAGGGTAGTTAGATCTGTGTTGAACAGATATTAGGGGAACAGTAATATACCTTTGTGCCTGGTAGTATAGCTTTCTCGAAGGGCTGCTGCAAGCTGGAAGGATTGGAAAGAGGTGTGAGAGCTGACACAGACTGCAGTAGGCGTGCAGACCCAAGCCAAAAGGCATTTTGAAGAGCGGCAGGCTTTCTTCTCAAAAACGAGGTGTATTCCAAAGTGCTTGTGAAAGGCTGAAGGGGGGCTTCAATTGGGATGGAGTTGTCGGAGATGCTTGGAGCATGTCGAAGAGAGCTGAACAGCCAGCCACGGAGGACCTGAGTACTGTGATGGCCGACATGTTGGGGGAAACTGCGGATCCCTCAAGTCATGATTCCCTCGGGGACTGCCCCGGGGACAAGTAAGGAAAAGACATAGGAGAGAAAAAAGGGGTGCTCACGGTTCATCAAATAGACTGCTGCGCCTCTCTTACGAGCTTCGCGGTCCACAAGAGAGTTTGCTTTGATGAAGTGGGCCACATCTGCAATGTGAATGCCGATCTCGATCTTTCCATCAACCTCAGTCTTGACATGGATGGCGTCATCCAGCTCGTTGGCGCCATTCGGATCGATCGTGAAGGTCTTTTCATCACGGAAGTCTCGTCTCGCGGCGATGGCAGTCTCGTCTTCCTTTTCCAGAGACCACTCGTCGAGGCCAACGCTCCGAGTAACAGCATCTGAGAAGTCATCGGAAGCAAAGTTGTTATCTCGGAGGAGAGCATCAGTCTCAACCTTGAGCTCGCCCATCTTGCCAAGTTGCTCGACGAGGGTGCCGAAGGGGTGGAGAGAAGTGATTGGCCATCTCTTGATGCATGCAACGAAGATTCGGTCAGCGTACTCTTGATGCTTCTCAACAAAGTCACGTGGAGCTTGCTCCGTGGGGATGGCGATCAGTGGCACTCTTTTGCTATAAAACAGAAACATACAGTTAGCAATGCGGTCAAAAATGGTTGGTTGGTTACTGATAGATCCAAAAATCGAGCCCGTGGTGCCTAGGAGGAGCTCAGAGAGCTCTGAAGTGCCCGAAGATGGCGCTGAGCTTCAACTCGTGATTCCCTCGAGGACTTCCTCGCGGTTTGGAAAGAGCGAAGAAAAGGGGCGCGCTTACTCGGTCGGCTTGAACCAAACGATCTTCGGCTTGTCTTGCTGTCGTTGCTCTTGGTGGCGTCCGGAGTTTCCATCTCTGGCAGCACGCTCGGCTTCTTGCTTCTCCTTGGTGGCCTGGCTGCTTGGTCGCAGCAGGCCAAGTGTACCAGAGAACATCTGGCCGGCGACACGTTCAATGACGGCGACAATGTGACCGGCATAGAGGGGCTTCTGTTCGTCGTTGACCTCCTCTTCCTCGACAAGAAGAAGACTCTGTCCTTCGACTTCAACATCGTCGTTCTTCTTTTGGGTGGGGCGCTGTCTCAAGCTTCCACGTCTTCGAATGCCGCCCTCACCAGTTCCGGGTTGGTCATCGCCGTTGGTAGAGTTATCACGGTGAGCTCTGTCTGCGTTTCCAGCGTTTGATCCGCCAGTTCGAGTGTCCGTGATGTCTTTTCGTTTCTTTTTCTCCTCCTTCTCGCGCTTCTGGCCCCAGACTTCATCCACATCGAGCAATTCTACGGCAACGAGATCTCCTTCCAGAGCTCGGTTGCGGTCCTTGCTTCCGCAGATGAAGATATCGGCATCGAGAAGGCCATCTTGAGTTGAAACATAAGCATCACTTCGGTTCTTCTTGTTGACTCGAAGAATACCGGAGACGAGCTGACCGTCACCAAGGAGAGCGGGCAAAGTGGCTTGAGGAAGGTAGGGGGTAAAGAGTGTCTTGCGCTGCTGCTGCTGTTGTTGAGCGGAAAGTTGTGGAGCATGCTGGCTTCCTTGAAGACCAACATGTCCATTCATCTGAGCAGCTTGCAGAGCCTGGAGCTGATTCATCTGCAGAGGATTCAATTGCTGACCAGGATACATGGGATTTTGGACGAGTGCCATCTGTCCCTGGGGCAATTGGACAAGTTGAGGTTGGCCTCCGTATTGGAAGTTTCCAATATTATTGATGGACTGGTTCATTGAACCGCGATTGCGATGTCCAGGTTGGAATCCACTTTGCTGGCTCTGAAAGTTACCCATTGTGCCCTGTTGATCTTGTTGGGGCTGGCCTTGGGCAGGTTGGTTTCTCCAATTGCCTTCAAAGTTGCGGGAAGAGTTTCTGTTGTGTCCAGTAGAGCCACCTCGTCTCGACAAATCATTGCCCTGTCCACCGGTTGCAGCTTCTGGGCCAGCTTGCATAGGAAATTGGAAGGAGCCACCACCACGCATAGCCGAGCCACCTCTTCCATTGGCGCCGACAGCCAAGCTTTGACTCCGACCATGTCCGCTGCCTCTGCCACGTAGGCTAGAGCCCGTTGAGATATGATTTCCAGTGCCTTGAGCTTGGCCTTGTCCATTCTTGTCTTCCGCAGTTGGACTATCGGTATTTTCTGCAGGCGTGGCTCCAGCAGCTCCGGGGATTGGGAATTGGAATCCAGAGGTTGTGCGTTTCTGCTGAGCGATTTCTGCAGCCTTTTTGGCCTCGGGCAAGGCAAGAGAGTGACGACGTTGATGTCCACCGCCGGGAGGTCCGCCTCCACGACCACCTCGCCCAGAAATGTTCTCTCGATTGTGTCCTCCAAATTCGCCGAAGTTGGAGCCAGAAGCTCCAGAAGATGGAGCTGGTGGTGGACCCATGCCCATGTTGGGAAGTGCCGATTGATTACGGCGATGTGATAACGGTTGTGTAGGAGCACCCATCGGGGCATTCATCTGTTGCTGCTGCTGCTGTTGTTGTTGCATCTGATTGGGGAACTGAAAGGTGTTTTGTTGCATCTGTGGCTGTATGGGGTAGCCGCCACCAGGTGCGAGGTGTTGGGTCGGAGGGATCATGCCCATGTTGACATACTGCTGATGTGTAGCTTGAATCTGCTGCTGCTGTTGCTGGAGTAGTTCGATTTGTTGCTGAATCGCAAGTTGTTCCACTATAGAGATGCTTGTCAGTAATGTTTCGATGCCGACGGAGCTGCAGTTTCGATGACGACAGGCGAAGCTTGATAGCGGCGGAGAAAACAAACAACTCACTTCCAGGTGACGAGAACATGCTCATGAGCGGCGTCAGCTCGGATGGACTCCTACGATGGGCAATGTGCAGTCTTCTGCCAGTTGGGCCTGGAACGCCGCCTTGCGGCGGTGGATTCTGCTGGTGGTCCATGACGGACGTGCACGTCGAGTGCGATTGAAAGTGTTTTGGTGTGCAATCCAAATGATTGTGGATGGGGGAATCAAATGAGGGCAAAGGAGGGGATACGAAGAGGCAGGAGAAGCTGGAAGGAGCGATTCTCGAGGATTCGAGGATGTGGGTGGAAGGAGGGAGATGGAGAGAGTCTGAGTCTGTGGTGTTGATGGGAACAGTTTGGTTTGGACTTGCGTTGCGTTGGAGAGCACTCTTGCTGCGCTTACCCGAAGAAGCAAGGTTTGGTCGGGATGTTCCCCAGCAACTGCACTAGCATTGCACGTGATTAAATTGGCTTCACCGCCCGAGATTTCTGCCCCACCCGCGAATCGCGTTCGACCTCCATTGTTTCCCGTCCTATTGTGAGCTATTGTGCTGTGCTGCCATTGCCGCTATCCGCACCCAACATCAATAACCACAATGCCTTGACAATACGAACGATTCGGATTCCCGTATACCTCTCCATGCACCGTGGTCAAGATGTCTCAACAATCTTTTCCCGGAGGCACATCCTCTCCAAGTTCCAACAACGACGACCTGGCTACCGATGACACTACAGACGACGGCAACATGGACGACTACGTAAAACGCTGGGAGGAGCGCAACAGCGAAGAGACACACAAGGCGGCTTTAGCAGCAGCTCACGCTCACCACACCGCCATCAGAGAGAAAGCATTGGAAGTCCTCGAGATTTCGAAGCTTCGTGAGGAAACCGAAAAGCTCCGACAAAAGAGGATTCAAACGGAGGAACGTGTCAGGCTCGAGACCGAGCGGGCAATGGAAGAGCTGCGAATTCGAGAAGAAGAGAATAAAGCCAAGTTGATCCCCAAACCGCCACCAAGAGTTCCCACTCCCCCTCAACCAATTCAGCAACCAGTTCAGCAACCGAAGCAGCCAGAGTTCACCTCAGCTCCTGCCAATCAGCCAGTCAATCAACTCACACAGGCACCAAAGCAAGCATCTGCCCCCAATGTCTTCCAGTCAAGCCAGACGCAGCCCCCACCAAACACCTCCCAGGCGAACTTGAAGCAACCCACATCCCAGCAGACCACACCAGCTACAGCCTCGCACCCCATGCAAGCACAATTGCAAGTCTCTGCACAACAGCCGAAGCAAGCGCAACAACCTACGCAAGCACCTTCAACGACTGCACAACGCCCTCAGGCGCCGTCCAATGCTTCCCAAGCACGTCAAGCCCCCTGGACCGCCCGACCGGCCTCGCAACACCTCGAAGAGCAAAAAATCATGCATCAATCAGTTGATCGCTATGCTGACATTCACAAGAATTTGAAGGACCTCCGAGACGCAATCCGGCAATTTGGTGAACTTAATCGTCAGTTCAAGAACGAGGCAGGTGCGATGCGTCGAGCCATAATCATGTCAGTTGGTCAACTCACAGAAGGTAGAGGTGTTAACAAGGTCCAAGTAAGTGGTCTATATCTCCCCCGTGCCCTAGAATACCCGCCTGACTCCTGGTTCAGATGCAAAATATTTGCGCACAGCTCGATGCATCCCTGGCCATGCCCATTCCCCCGCGATTCGAAAGAGCTCTACTCTTCAACCCCGCACTGGTTATGACAAGCACACCTCCTCCGTCGAAGAAAGAGGACACGCCAAACAACGGGGACAAAATGCCTTTGCTTACCATCTACCTCCTCAACATTTTGGCCAAGGCTGCTATCTCTCAATTCTGCACTGAGGCAGGTGCGAACCCAAAAGCCGCCGACCCGGTTGGTACGCTCATCATCTCAATCTTCGCGCAGTCCAAGTACTGCTGGCGTGGAAAATCATTGATCGAGATCATGATTGCAAAATTCAGGATCACTTGCCCAGTTCTGTTCGGGTTCCGCGGAAACGAGAAGACTGAAGAAGGTAGAGAAAGACTGGGATGGAAGAAAGATGTAAATGGCAATTGGATTTCGGAGCAAGAACACAATGATCGCATGACTGGTCTTGGCGCTGGATGGGCTTCGATCTGTCTTCGTGACTTTTCAAGAACACAACTGGACAATCCATGGCCTCCGATCAAGTATTGGAAATCCTTGGCATTCATCACCAACACACCTTCGGGGGAAACATCTTCCACCCAATTCGTTGTATTGAAGGCCATGATCGACAATTACACAGCCCTCTTCTTCAAATGCTTTGGCGACATGGGAGTTCGGGCGTTGCATGATGCCTTGCAAGTATTTCCAAGGAAAGCAGCCGCTGGCAACGTGGCAGCGAGTTCGTTGCAGGTTTTGGCCGCTAAATTGCAGCGAGATACCGGTCTTCTACTTGCAGTCAGCTGAATGAAAACATTCGGGAAAACCAACAGGGGGTTGTTTGTCACACTGGGAGTTATGGCGTTCGGAGGTTGGAGTTGGAAAGCATAGCTGGAGCATTCGGTGGTGTGAAATCAAAATGCTTTATATGCGTGTATTCGGTGCATAAGAATGGGGGTATACTATGGCACGAGGCGTATTTGTTCTTTGAAAATTCAATTTGAATCGATACTTGAATCTGTTTTCTGTCCTTGTGGTGGCATCATCTAGTCCCTCGCGTGTGGATATTGCAGCACCTGACTCTTCGATTTGTTGAGCTTCGCATTCATCCACTTCTCTTTTTCGACTCTCTAGACTCTGGCCTGTAGTGGGTGCAGTGCAGATTCTTCAGCGCCACCACCCGCGTACTAGATTCGGATTTCCGCTTCTTCCTTGAGTATTCTCTTCCACTTCCACATCCTCGCCTCACCTTCGCGCGATCAAACTCCCGTACAAGGCGGATTGAATTCCAAATGGAGATATGCTGACTTCGCAACCACGCAAGCGTTTCAGACCGGTTTGCCTTATCAGCCATGCTCACCGCGCCAGCATCGCCGCCTTCCCACCCGATGCTTCGCGATGTCTCTAATTCAATCTAATTCCCTCGTCATGAAAACATCCAGGACAGTCAACTTTCGCAACTAAAAACGCATAGTGACCCTCTCACCTTAGTATTCGAATGTAGAGGCCGAGTCTGCTGAGATCGCTATCATTCTGGAATGAGCTTTCAGTGTCCTGACCGACCTCCGAACAGTCGACAGGACCCAGAAGCTACCGCCCGCATAACGAAATTCTCTACAATGCCTGTCGCTTGTGAAGAACAGTAAGCCCCGAAACTGGGCGGAAGGAGAAGAGGATAAAGGCCCATAACCACTGCTGTCTCCTGGAGCCGCTGCTGAATTTTCTTTTCTTTTCTGGGGATTCACTTCTGACTGTTTGAATATTCTAGATACTCTGCAGGTGGATTTGGAGGATTTGGGGCCAGGCCTTCCCAGTTACAGCTAGGCAGGGTGGAATTTCGGCCCTGAGTGCTGCTTAGTTCTAGCTTGGCGGGCGTAGCAGCAGAGTGCGAAGACAAACTAAGGTAACAACTAACTTGAAAATCAATAGGAAAAATTCGAACCATGCTGGCTTCTCAAAAAATTTCCGGAGTAGCACAGTAGTTTAGTCGTCAGAAATGGAATACTAGGAGTGTTTTTTGGGCGCTCTGCAATGTGTGCCCGTGCTAGTGCCTCTATTTACCTTGCACAACCACCCCTAAAATTTCTTCCTTCTTCAACTTTCCCATTCCATATAATCAAATACACATCCTAGTCTTCTTCCACACCGCGAATGCCTTGGTTTCGACTGTCTCCAGTCTATTATTTCATATTGAGGGCGGATAACTTCTCTGCACACCTCTCACACGTCGTCTCTACCCACATCCTTTCTTCTCAAGCCCTCGGGGCACTGGCTGTGGGGAATTCTGAGTTGGGAGCTCGAAGCTCTGTGGGCCGTGAGATTTGACAACCCCGTCTCGCACTCTCAATGTCTGGAAGTCAAGTTATAAATATTTCAACGTTTCGACATCTAATATTCCCTCTAGTTCCCCTCGAATGTTCTCACCACTCTGGAACATTGAAATCTCTTCCCAAGATAAATTTCCGGGTTCTCCTTGGGACATTCAGAGTTGGGTGCCGCTTTTCTTGTCCAGCATGAGCAGGCCTAATCCCACATCCAGATCTCACTTCTCTCAGCGAACAACAAGTAATTCAAAGAGCCTCATTCTGGACTCCGTCAAATATCTATTCCAATCCTTAACCCTGCTTTCATATCTCCTACACCCATTTCCATCAATTCTCGTCAAGTTCGAAGAAACAGCAAAGTCACAAGGTGGGTTCTCTCTTCGACCCCTGAATCTCGCTTAATTATCTCTAGAAGGGACCACAACCAATCACCCCTTTTCAACCTTGGCTAAACCGGCTTCGCTAAGACCTCCAGCCGCAACCAACACAGAATCTACTAAAGAAGACGATTCGCTCAAATGGGCATCGAGATCAGTCTAGAACCTGTTCCCCCCCATCCTCTTTCGGTACATAGCCGAGAATCTGAAACACCCTGGCCCCGTTGCTGATTTAAGGGCCAACCAATCAACATCCAAGACAACAAAGACACCATGTTGGATTCGGCCTCGGCATGATGAAGGGGCAGCCTGAGCTTCTGTGTGCTTTCCGAGCTCCAACCATCGGGAATTCATCTATCACAGAAGGGCTGAGATGCAGGTCTCACCCGGGAACCGTCGAGCCAACCGTAGGCTTGATGAATATGGACCTCCAATCAGATATCATGGAGCTCTCGAACCGCGACCCCGGTTCCTTCTGTTTTGCAATGCTTTGAATTGAATGCAACCTCAAAGCTAAGCACCACAGCTTCCTTGGTATCCGTAACTGCATGATTAACGGAAATAAATTTGACAGTTCCCGCCCCACATGAAAACCCGCCAGTCGAATAGCTGGTACCAAAAGCAAAGACCAAAATTTCCGGGGAGAGAGGAATAACCAACCAAGTCTCTTTCCAACTTATGAGAAAGCGTCCGAGTGCAGATTGGAGAATATGCAGGTACGTAAAACCTTGCACCTGCTAGTGCAATGAATCCAGACATATTTTATAGCTGGGAAGTTCCTCCGCATAATAAATCTTCGAGCAGAACATTCGCAACAGTCGCCGCGCCGGGTAGTCTTTCTTTATAACCTCGTTTGATCTTTCTTGTGGTTCTTCAACCATCTTACGCTCCTTACTTCAAAATGGGTGTTGCACCTTCAAGTCCGTCTGGATACACCCTCGCTCATACTGTGAGTTGGCTCTCATTGTTCCAACGCTTCCTGCATCAATGATTTTATCTTTCGAAAATGCTGAAGTGTGCGTGAACTACTTTTGACAACGGTCTAATCTTAATAGTTCGATTCCACTAATTTCTTTAACGAGTTTAATTTCTTCGCAGGGGGTGATCCGACTCACGGATATGTCAACTACGTTTCGCAGAGTGCTGCGCAAGGCTCCAACCTCGCCCACATTACAAACAATCAAGTGTACCTCGGCGTAGACACAACGACTTATCAACCCGTCGGAGGTCGAAATTCTGTGAGACTGACGAGCAACCAAGCTTTCGGTGAAACCTCCCCATCTCTTCCCATGAAATGGTCGTTGACTCATAAATTGCAGGAGAAGGGCTTGTCATTGCAGATATCGAACACATGCCAACTGGATGCGGCGTCTGGCCGGCCTTTTGGATGTTTGGCGCCAATTGGCCCGCCGGGGGGGAGATCGATATCATAGAAGGGGTCAATAACCAATACGCGGACTCGGTTACTCTACACACGAACCCGGGATGTGTTGTCAGCAACTCTAACTCACAGTCGGGCACCTATACTATCACCAACGACTGCAACGCTGGTAATGCCGGTACGGGATGCACCACGGGAACCTCCAACCCAAACAATTTTGGGGCTGGTTTCAATAGTGTTGGAGGAGGCACTTATGCAATGCAATGGGCATCAACGGGAATATATGTGTGGTTTTGGCAAAGAGGACAAGTGCCGGGAGACATTTTGGCAAGGCAACCAAACACGAATGGTTGGGGCACACCGTTGGTAACTTTCACTGGGGGTGGTTGTAACTTCAACACATTCTTCTCAAGTCAGAACTTAGTTTTTGACACAACCTTCTGCGGGGACTGGGCTGGTTCAGTCTGGGGCAGCGGGTCTTGTGCTTCTTTGGCACCTACTTGTACTCAATATGTTGCAAACAACCCCGGCGCATTTACGAACGCTTACTGGCTGATCAACTCGGTTCAAGTATACCAGTAGACTATGCAGCTCGGGAATTAAAAGAAATAGAGGCTGATGAGATGAAGTGTGCATTCAGTGTACATATTTGAATAGAAAATTTCGTGGCCCGGCGCATTGACACCATATTGAGACCACATTTTGACATCATGTGAACGTAAGGCTTCGGAAATTTGGATTGAGATGTGAGACCCGGAGTGCGTTATCTGGACTGCAGCAACAAGAGGCACGGGTCGAGTGCTATAGCGACCTGGACAAAATGTTGCTTTTACTAATGGAAAGCAACCGGTAATTACTTCTGGGAATTGAATGCAACAAATTCAAAAGTTACTGAGATATGCTCTTGAGAACCTCGGTCTTCACCGCGGCTTCACAACTCGTTTTCATCCTCCATCTAGCATTTCCCGATGTACACGCCAAGAGGAGCGCGGTTACATCCTGGAAGTACCTCAAACTCGTATCACCAACAGTCTTCAATTCAAAGTTCAATGCAGTTTCCCCCCAGGTCAGGGGAATGTTGCTATGCTGTAGGGATTTCCCGGGGTAGCCTTGGCCACTCCAAAATCGTGCTGAACCGGTGGAGAATTCGAGTATGATGTCGCACTCGTGGCGACACCATTCAACAATGAAAAGCCGATACCTCCATTCCCACCGACTGTGAATGCAGATATTATTAAGTGTGTTTGAAATGGAAAGAGGAAGAGGAGAGAGCATATCTTTCCTAAATCTGAATCCGGGATGTCAAGGTTGACGATGCTGGAGTTCGTTGTTGACACCTCGCCAAAATACCGAGTCCCCGATATGCTTTACGAATTACTGGAGTCGATTGAAATAATCAAGTGGGAGTATTCTTAAGGCCTGTTGAGGTCGGTGGGGCATCCGGGAGGTAGAGGCGGTGGCGGAGAGAGCAGCGAGAGAAGCATTAATCGGCTTTCAGAGCGATTTTGCCGCAATTTGTTCCTCCAGGAGTGGGGTAAATATTCTCCTCACCTTAGACATTCTCAGCGGAAAGTACAGGAGAAGAGATTCCTCAAGTTACGTTATCCCCAGTCTAGCATTCCCAGGCTGCCATCACAGCCAATGCTAAAGCCAGAGTTGGGAGGCGCTCCACTATCACACTGGAACCAATTCACTTGTGCTAGAGGATATGAGTAAGTGTTGATACTGGTTGGGAGCAGAATACTTACGGGTCAGAATCCATCCACGTCCGTGGGCGTCTGCAATGGCGCCGTCTGCGATGCAGTATTGAGCGGCAGACAAAGGAAGGTTGACACGATTCTGTCCCTACTCAAGTGGCCCTACGGTGCTGGCAACTGCAACAGAAGCCCCGAGATGAAGCAACAAGGGGCCCGGCGAGATACGAATGCGCTCCCAGAGCAAATGAGACACGTAAATATTAGGACTATTTTCATTGTGTGAGAGTAAGCGGACTTTTGAGTGTGGTTCGATCTCGGACAGGGACCAACAGGGGATGAAATACAGGAATAAGAGTAGGGTTTCGGACATTAGAAACACCGTGGACGGTATGACGGCTGCCAAGTAATAGAAGTGCCACAAGATGTGCGTCATGCCACTGGAGACTGGGTACAGCACAACTAGCGAACATCGTCACTGAGGGAAAAGCGGCGAAGATCGACCCACTAAAAAAAATTGATTGAATAAAGTTGACGATGTGAAGCAACGTTCCTTCGTCTCGTACTTCGATTGACAGAGGAATTAGAAGCATCTGCTTGTCGGTTGCTTGCAGTAAGGTGCACAATATCTCGTATTGCTTATGGCGATGGTTTGCCCCGCTCTCATCGAACTAAGTGGAGGTTAAGGTAGACAGCGATCACACATTTTCCAGAATATTTCAGAACTACAAAGGTGGAATGGTCTCGAAAGGATGAGCGTCTCAATGCCAAGCTCAACGATAGCCTAGCTCAGCCCCCTGTTTGTCCCTTGAAATTTGGCATTCGTCCACAAAATATCAGCCCCTCAAAATGAGATTCTTGTGAGCACCTTCTGCTAGGAGTCTTGGCAATCGAGAGAACCCCCGAAGGAGTCGACGTGCGTCGATGACGTCTTAACAATTCTCAAAACAATTGCCTCATATCCGTCCATCAGCCGATCCACGACTTTACGGAAGCGAGCCCTTTCGCTTTACCAACAGCATGGAGCGAAACAAGAACGGCAATCCCTGACCTAGAACTAGGTACTAAAGGTACATTGGACTCAATGATAGGGTGGAGACCACCTGATTAGCCTGGCCCGTTTAGTTTACATAAAAATCCAATGATGTGACCTTTGGCAAGCGTCGGACTAACTTCTGCTGACGTGGATACGTAGAGATGGAAGGGAATCTGAATGAGCTGTTATTTCTTCTGGTACCGAAGAGAAAATCATTTTCATATACCACAACTAGTGCTGGATTATATATAGAACATGTACTGTGATCATGTACACGTTTCCTTTTAAGGCAGTGAAGGGGACGGCTGAGGATGGCCATATGAGAGTATTCGGATCCTTACTTCCACTGCCGCTTAACGCATTACTACAAGAAATGTCCAGCCAGCCTCCCCGCATGTCAGTGTCACCCCTGAAGAGATTCCTGAGCTGGAGTGGCTAGCATTCCCACAGAACATCAGCTGCATTCGATCATAAATATACAAAGAGTCTTTGGGACAGTTAGGAATAACGTCTAGTTAAAACGGTACCGAAACTACACTCGCAGTGGCCGCGAAAAAAGACTTCTCGCAATTGTGGAATTAGTGGATATTGAGTTTGCTTGCTGAACAGTAATGGTACTCTCCAATAATGATTCAGCATTCGAAGGGTCCACGAACTTCATCATGCAAACGTTACTTTGGGCGGCACCCCTCTCCGTAGATATTTTGTAACTGAATGCTAATCACTCGATTAGGCACCGGAAGTCTGAATTGGCGAAACCTGGACGAAATTTGGCACGCGTAGCGTCGAAATAAGACGATATCTCTCAACCTTGACACATTCGCAGCAGTATCGGTTGATGAACTGTTACGATTGATATCCAGGAAAATGCAGAGTCCGCACAGTTGGCGCGAAACCAATGGGTTGGGAGGACCACCGAGACGAAATATAATTGAAGACTTAGCGGTGAGGATGAAAATAGAGGCTGGGAGAAAGAATAGAAGGAAAAAGCCTCAGGTAAGATGATACAGGATCTCAACAACGCATGCTAATAAAATTTAGCGCTCATCCGCTGAGCCACCCCCTGAGTCGCCCCAACTTCGATTGCTTGTGTTGCTTCTGTTTCTCTTCCGTCTTTAGATCGCAGCTCAGGCTTATATTAAGGACTATAAATATAGGGACTTGGTGCTATCCCTTCGTCCGGTGAGACATGTCCAGCGCTAGCAAGGGGGGTGTGGCTGCACGCAAGCCTCTTGAAGCGTAATAAAACGAGATGAGGCTTGCGTGCAGCCACACCCCCCTTGCTAGCGCTGGACATGTCTCACCGGACGAAGGGATAAGCCTAACCTTAGCCCCTATATTTTAATATAATTTCTCT